ATATGTCTGGCATGATATCACAGACCCATTTTTGAAAAATTTAACATGCCAAAACATGTTTGAAAGTGTTCCATTCTATGCCAGCTTTACAACAAATTTCTTGAACTAAAAATATCTTAAAAACAGGGAAGAGAAAATAAGCAGCCAACTGCTTTTCTAAATACTAATGCTTTTCTCTAAAGTTTCTTCATCCCCTTTCTTCAACTCATGGCTGAATACACCAGTGGAAATGATAGCTCATAATGTTTACTTAAATACTAAGGTTTGTAACTAGAGTAATTCACATCCGTGTTTACCCAGAGGAACTCCTCTTATATTTTTCACTTCAAAATTAACTGCTTTCAGCTATCACCATTTCCTTTTACTGCATAACTTCCCCTACCTTTCTTTCCTTTAAGCAGAGTACTCTGATCTTGCAATACTCACATACAGACCTCAGCAATTCAGAAGCACTGAACGCTTTTCTGATATAGAACACCTGACATTAACACCCCTTTTCGCTGCAACACCTAGGGCTGTGTCACAAATTACTTATAAACATGGCTAGACTTGTAGGGGATGAATGAATGGAAAATAGCCCTCTCTTTAAATGAGAGGTAGAAGGACAACATAGAGGAGCATTCTTATAATGGCACTAACTTCCAGTGCAAAAGAAGACAAATGGTTTCTCTGCATACTCAAAAGACAGTTTCTTTGTCAGAAGACAGAAGTTGTATAAAGCAGAAGCAAGTTACTTATCAAGCTATTTATGCAAGCTTATTATTAGAGTGAGAAGAATAGTGAAATCATCTCAACTTCACAGCTCAGCTACAAAACAGAGCCCAAGATCCTCCCTAAAGGGAAATTGTTTTCCTCTGCCTTTATCTGCTAAGACTTTTTTGGCTGAACTCCAATGGGCTACCCTTGTCAGAAAATTAGGTCTCAGGAAGGCTACAGGGTTGTAACCCCAAACACAATACTACCTCTTAGTGCAGCAAGTCTCCCCAGGGTCTTCACTGGACAGTCTCATCTACCCTGAAAACAAATATAAGTATCACACTTGAACTTTGCCTGGAGCTTCTTCCAAACTCCAGCATGGGCATTCCCACATTGGCCTGCCTTGGTACCATTGCTGTGAAGGCATGCTTTTAGCATGACCATGAATGACAGCCCTTCCGTTTGTGTGGATGGGCATGTGGGCAGCCAGATGTGTGCAGAGAACGAGACAAGAGCCTGCCCAGCAGCAGGGGTGCCGGGAGGACAGGTACGTGATCCCGAGATTAGCTGGTTAAGAATCGGAGCTAATAACACCAAAGTCACAATTCAATCCCATGTACAGGCCATTCACTTAAAGAGTTGGACTCAATGATCCTTGTGGGTCTCTTCCAACTCAGAATATTTTGTGATTCTGTGTGGGGCAGGGGACACTGGCTGCTGACATCCCACATTTCAGTGGGTAATGGAGCGTGCAACCTGCTGGCAGGGCTGAGACACCTGCACAGGTGAAAAACACATGCAGACATAGAGGGCCACCATTAAACCCACAGAGACCAAAAACCCCTCACGAAAGGCTGCCTGCCTCTCTGATACCTCAAGGGAGCGAAGGCTGCCTGTCCTCAGGGCAGCCCTCCCGCTCCCAGGCTGGGAACTGAGGACAGAGACTGAGGTAACGTGTCCTCACAGGGCTTAAAAATGGTAGCGGAGCCCTCCCTCGCCTGAGCGGGGCCACTGCCTAGCTCCCAGCCCTCTGCTCTCCCCTGCCTCACACAATCCCCGTTCCCTGCTTTCTCCACTCCCTCACCGCCAAAGCTTTCCAGCGAATAGCGCGGCCCATTCCCGCCCCACCCGCTCGCTCCCCATTGGCTGGCGGGAAAAGGGGCGGGAGCGGGATCACGGACAGTGACGTGTCGTCCGGGGCAGGCCACGTGGATCACCGCCCGCCCCGCCCCATCCCATCCCCCGGCTTGCCCGGGGCAGCTGGAAGCGGTCATAAGGCCACGCCGCCCGCGCTGTCACCGGGCCCGGGCGGCGGCACTGGGAGCCCGGGCAGCGCTGCTACTGCAGCCCCGCAGCGAGCGCTCGGCCAGGTCAGTCCGCGGCGACGGCAGGGGTGAGGGTGGGGCTGTGTGGTGGTGGCAAGGGGGCGGTCGGTGCGCGCCGCTGTGGAAAGTCTGGAGGCTGAAGGAGGTCGGTGCGCGCAACGGTGTCGGGAGAGCTGGTAGGGGGAGCGGTGCCGCTTGCTCTTGAGAAGGGGTACCGGGGGGATAGTCCTTGGCCCTGGGGGAAGGTGGGTAGGGCAGAGATCTGTCCCCCCCACCCCGTACGGAGGCGGCCTCAGCCGCCTCCTTCATCCCCCGCTGCCCCGCGGAGCCGCCACTGCCCCGGCTCCGCGCACTCCCCGCGCCGCCCTGGCCGCGCCCCTTGGACACGCCCCGCCCCCTCACCCCCCCGGCCGCGCTGTCGAGGAACAGGCGCGGTCTCAACCCCGCGCTCCCATTGGCTGGGGCCGGGGAAGGCGGGGCCGAAGCTTCGGCGTGTGACGCGCTCGCGGCCGGTCGGTCACGTGGCCTCTCGCGCTGTGGCTCCGCCCCTCGTGGTCGGAGCCGGGGGCGGCTGGAACCGGTTGGGGCCGTGCCGCCCCCTCCGCTCCTCTCCCCTGCCCTGCCCTGCCCGGCCCGGCCCGGCCCTCCCTGCCCCGCGCCCTCAGGCGGCCCCGGGAGGAGGGGCGGGGGGACAAAGGGATCGGGGGAGCCCGGGCCGGCACCGCCCGCAGCCTCGCACAAAGGCACCGAGGGCCCAGGTCAGTCGGCACCGCTGGGCGGGTACCGCAGTGGGCGGTCGGCGCGACCGGAGAGCCCCGGTGCCAGAAGGGCGCGGGGAAAGGTGGTCCCGCGGGCTGTCAGGCCGGTGTGATGCGACCTGAGGGGACCTGGGGGGGAGGAGCGCGTGGCTTGGGAAGCGGGACATCGGCCGCAGGTTCTTCAAGGCAGATCGGCCGTGTGCCGGGGAGGCGGGAAGAGGGGCGGCCGCGGTGCTTCGGGGCGGGGGTGCCGTGCCTGGGGAAGGCAGCAAGCGGTGGCCGGGCCGGGCTGTTCCCGGCGGCAGCGGCTTGGCCCGCGGCTCTGTTTATTTACGTCCCAGCCCAAAGCGCTGGCCTGGGGCGGCCCCGCGGGTTCCGCATTATGTAAGGACCGGGACGGGGCGGGCCCGGGGCGCGGCGCTGCCTCCTCCCTCCCGCGGGGGGCGGGGAGCCCCCGGTCACTTTCCATCTGTCCGTCCGTGCGGGCAGCGAGGTACGACGGGCTGGGCGCACTGCGGCGCCGGAGCTGGGGGTGTGTTGCTCAGTGCTGCTCTTTGTCTCTTCTTCGGACTAAAGTAACGCACCGATGACGCTTGTGGTTTGATTATTATCGTAGGCATTAGTGAGGCGGTTCTAGGTTAATCTAGACTTTAAAAGTTAATCTGAACTTAAGTTACTTGCATCCTACCGAGGCATGGATTCGTTCTTCTATTTTTCTTTTTTTCCCTTTTCAGTCAATACGTTCTTTTGTAGGGTGCTAGTGTTAATTGATTAAAACATGCAGTGTTAGATAGAGATTAATCTCCAAGATATTTTGTGTGTTAATAGTAGAGTGAAATAGTCAATAAGTGAAATTATTTTTTATTATATGTATTTCTGTTCTCACACTGCTTCCTGTAAAATAACTATAGAAGATATTTAAAACAACCCATAATGCTGTTGGTCTTGAATAGATACTATTATTTTGAACTGCCACATAATTAATCTTTCAGCAGGACGTGTTCTTCCTCAATAAAATGGATACAGGGTTTGGAAACCTGTTTAAAAAAGTGGTTTGTTGAGAGCAGTGGGGAGCATTATACATGTTATTTGTCCATGTCATTCCTAAGTGAGGAATGTTAGCAGATCACAAGGAGCTAAATTGCTACCTTCCTAAGATCCTGTCAGCCATACGTTAATAATAAACAGCACTTCAACAAAGACAAATCAAACTGATGCTGTTCTGCTCTAGTTGCAAGTATGCCCCAGCTGTTTCCTGTCTGTCTCAAGAAGTTAGTTCGCAAAACTGCTGTGACATAACTAAGAGGGAAGAGTCTGATACATGGATAGGTATTTGCAAAATGCTGAAAATAATTAACTTATTGTTACTTAAAATAAAGTGGATGCATTATAACTGAACATCGTGTGTCAGAGAGGAGTCTTGTGTTTGATTACCAGGGCTGACATGGTCCTGCACATGGGTAGTTAAATTGATACTGAAAAGGTATCTTTCTCTATTGTTCAATGTTAACGTGTTATTTCAGAAGCAGCACATGGGCTTTGTTGCTTTCTAAATGTCAATATAAGCCTGTTGGTAAAATTTCAGCCTTTAAATCAGAACAGCATGTCCAGATCTTCTGTGCAAGTTTTTTTTCTGTCCAGCATTAATACTGCAATGCAGAATGACAGAGCTGCTGACTTTCTGGTTGTCCTTTCTCATGCAGTCAAAGTGCGAGGGAGCGGGGAAGGAGGAGGGAAGGAGGAGGGCAGGAAGAACCTTCTAGTTGTTTGGGTGAAAATGAAGGAGTTGATACTGTAATGCTGTTTCTAAAAATTCTCCTCCAGTTGTTACAGTGAATACCCTGACAAGCATATCCTCTGACCTTGTACTAAAATGCAGGTGTTGTCAACTATTGTTACATAATTTTCTTACATACCTAATTTGTTACTTTAGATGTATTCTATGATATTCTGATACTGTGTTAGGACGAACCAGAAGCAGAAAAATCTGTTCTTCATACTACAGGATTAATCAGATTTCACTTGTTATCATTGAAATGTTATAGTCTGAAGTTGCACGAGTTGATATTTTTCTGCTCAAGAGTCCAAGACTGTGAGTAAAAACGACAAGAACTGTGTCTTAGACTTGTATCCCTTCTTTGTTGAGCACAGCAGCATATCTGGTGCACGGTGGATATTCTGTTGCTGTGTGTGGCACAGCTTTTAAGGTGAAATGTAAGTGCAGTACCTTTGTCCAGCAGCGCTTGGCAGTATTCAGATTCGTGGTTCATCAGCGAGGCTGCACAGGGCTCTGGTGCCCTGTATCAGTGTGTGCTCCCATCTGTCAAATGACTTGGCTGGGACTGTGGCACCTTTCCCCTGCCTCTGGCTGGAGTTGGACCTCTCCTGGGTGTTGATAAGTCTTGTCAGTCTATTCCTTTAAGGTGGAGAAGGTCTGCTTAAAGTTAAAGAAGTAAGAACAAAAATACTGCAGCCTTCTTGTTATTGCCCTTTTGATCTTTATTTGCAGAAAAGTGGAGTGATATTTTGAAATAATTCAGCATGTTTACTTTTTTGCAGTGCTAGGATTGTACACTGTGGTCCGTGATGAAATGTGTGTTAACATTATGAAAGAGCCTGTTTGTGCATAGATGGAGGGTGGTGGTGGGTTTGACCTTGGCTGGAATCCAGTTGCCCACCAAGCAATTCATCTCCTCAGTGGGTTGGCCAAGGGAGGGAGAAAATAAGATGGATAAAGCCTCATGGGTGAAGGTAAGAGGCAGTTTAATAAAGCAAAAGCAAAGGTCATGCACATGGAAGCAAGGGAGAACAGAAGATTTTATTCTCTACTTCCCATCAGCAAGTGATGTCCCAGCTGCTTGCTTCCTGGGAAACGGGTCTTCAGAATTTTTTATTATTATTATTTTTTTTTTTAATCCCTGAACAGACATCATATGATGTGGAACATCCCTTTGGTCAGTTTGGGTCATCTGTCCTGGCTGTGTCTCCTCCCAAAATCCTGCCCACCCCCAGTTTACTGGTGATAGTGAGGAATGTTGGAGAGACAGCATTGATGCTATGTGAGCGCTCTTCACCTGTAGACAAAACTCTGCTGTGTTATCAACACCTTTCTAGCTACCAGTACAAAGCACAGCACTGTGGAGGCTGCTATTGGGAAAATTAACTCTGTCTCTGCCAGACCTGATACAATGGTTGTAATTTTTCTACAGCTAACTAAGCAAATTCAGCAATTCAGTGGTTAAAAATATTCTTACATTAAAAATCAGGTGTTTGAAAGTATTAAAATGCATTCCAGGAATTTCCTGGCACCTCTGTACCTAGCTGTCTCATTTTAATTGTCTAATTGCCTGTGAAAAATTCCATTAAGTACCTATAAAATTTATTTACCCAGATATCTTTAAAAAAACAATCACTCATTAATAAGATACTTTGTCAGCTGTATTTTTTTATCTCGATGTTTCAAACATTGCCGTTAGACCACTGGAATCACAGCCTCACAAACCTGTTTGAGTTGCTGTTAAAAATATCAGTTGTACTGAAAGAGAGCCTGTAATCTGGTTTCATGACTGCTATGATTTTTTATGACACTAAAATTTGTTCAATGTAAGCGAGGCTGTTATGGTCCAGGATTGTCCCAGATTACTTGGGTGTATTTAGCTGACCCTGAGAAACTCCATATAAGATATGGGACAGCAAACAGCCAATACCACTTAGAAGATGTTGCAAAGGTTAAGGAAGTTAAGGGTGAGGCAGAATAATCCACTGAAGCTGAAGGATTGTAAATTGTTTTAATGTATCACCAGACCTGTTAGCCAGAGGATTAAAGCTTTGAGTTAATAAATTAGGTCCATGTCCTGGTATATTTTTGACTATAACCGAAAAATATCTTGGTTTTCCCCATCCATGATGACCTCATTTTAGAGGAAATCTATGATACTTTGTGACACATTAATAGTTGATTGTGTTATGTCATCTTTTTTCTTCTGCCTTACCTACATTTTCTAATTCCCTTCTAGAATCAAGGGGCAGAGCTTGGGTTCCTTATTATTTAGGGAAGTACATTTGCTCGTGTCACTCTTGTACTCCTTCAGGAGCCTGTGAGGAGAAGGAAGGCAATATTAGAACAGAGAGTACTTTTTTCCCCCCCTCTGCTATTTACCCTGCAGGATACTACACTTAAAATCTATATTGCTTTTCTTTTGGGTATGTGAAGGCAAGTGAAAATTGAAAATGAAATAGCAAGATTACCAGTTGCTTTATTTCCTGTCTTAAGGCCATGAGGAGAGCTTTATATTGTGGCAGAGGAACCAAGATTGCATGTGATCCTGCCTACTGGGCTGTTGATCTTCCCCCCTGCCCTGGAAGTCTTGCAGAGGTCTCAAAGCCTTGCAGACAGCCTGTTTTATACAGCGAGGTTGGTTGAGGGCAGGGTTACCTGAGCCAAGCTTTTGAAGGCAGATCAGTTCCCCCCTCCCTTCCCCTCAGCCTCAGGATGCTGCTGCTGTGCAGTCACAGTCTTCATGGGGAAACCTTTAGAGATTGGGAAAGGTAGAGTTTGCTTTGCAAAAAGAGGAGAGTGTGAAACTGTGGAACTGTGCCATGCTGGGGGAAATAACATGTTTCTGTCATAAAAGCAAGGATCTGTAGGTAGAGAAACAATTTTAATTTTTTTTTTTTTTTTTTTTTTAGTGAAGATCTGATAAATATCTATGTGTCCCAGGTTGTTTGGCTCCCAGCCAATTGCCCGGACCACAGGGACAAAGCCTTCCCTCTCCCTCTCTCACAGCAGATCGAAAAGATCATGAAAAAATCAAAAGAACCCAAACCAAACTGAATTTCAAGTGAGGTACATTTATATATATAAATAGAATTATATACAATATAACGCCCCCAGGGAATCCCCCAAAAGGGAAAAGGAAAGGGAAAGGGAAAAAAGGATAAATAGGGTTAAAAAGCAAATACTTCCCTGAGGAGAGCAGCGAACCACACCAAACAACCGCTGGCACTATCTGCTTCTCAAGGCCAAGTAGGTGCACTAGGCCTCACTCCTTCGCCTGGGCAGAGCGACAGCAAAGAACTTTCGCCTTTGGTCCGCCAGAAGAAAGAGAGCGAGAGCTTCCTCTCTCTTCTTATTTATACTCTTGCTTACGTAAAAATCACATGTAATGCTGGGAACGTGGACTTGGTTCCTTGGTTCCAACCTGGTCACCAAGGAAGGCCTAGACTCAAACCCACTACAATGTGGGTGATCTCAGTCTGCTCACTGCTTATTACTTTTTAATGTAACTATCATGATTTGCTTCAGTTCCCCTAAGCAGACAGTTATGTCATGACCCCTTTGAGCTGAGGATTCTTTGCATTCTCCTAAAAATCCATCTTTACAGATGTGGGGAACAGAGAGGATTTGTTCTACTTTGTCAGCGTCTTTGGTTAGGCAGTGCTGAAAATCTGAAGGAAGAAGCATCAGGTTTAAAAGGTGCCTGACACCACTTACATGGTCAGAGGTTTTGACTGTCTTAAGGTTTCTTGCCATTCCCTCTTGGGAATTAAATGACTTCCTTTTCTCAGGAACTATCAGCAACTAGACAGCTGAACTTATACTTTTTTCCCTTTAAGTAAAATATTTTCATATCATGTCTTGAAATGAATGCTGTTATAAGTGCATGATAATATACAATATAGGCATGATTCCTCAACAAAAAGCAGATGTTTGTTCTTTGCTCTGTGTTTACATACAGTGCTCTGCTGGAAAAGATGTTTTTACAGAATGAGAGGTAGTGATTTGACCCTAAATGTGAATGTAAGTGCAATACCTGCAGCTGCTGTTCTGCTAGAAAAATCATACCATGCTTGGTGATTTAGAATTTTTCTTCTCTTGGTATGCATCCCTTGGGTAGGTTGAGTAGGTATTTGAGAAAATGCCTTTTGAGTAGAATTTTGACCATTTTACAAAGTGAATTTATAAAAATCTCCTTGCGATTGACTACTGCTGTATAGAAAAGTGATATTATGTTGCTAAGTAGTTTAGAAAAGTCCATAACTGCCTTCCATGTAGGTGCATAGAATTTTTACAAGACCAGCTGAAGGCTTTGTGGGCTTTAGAGGATTTTAGATTTTTCTCTAGGAATGGAAGGGTAGTTAGTTAATTTGCAGCAGGACAGACATGCTGGTTTTTGTGAAGTTTAATTTTGAATCCTGTTGCATCGGCTTTGGAGACAGCAGGTTTTTTTACAAGGCAAAAGCATGTTCTTGTTTTGAAGAACTGGGTGCAGGCTTCAGCTTTCACCTACCTGCTTTGCAGACTTTTGAAAGGCATTTTTGCCTACTTCATCTCCCCTTTGGTTCCTCTGCCTTTGTAGTTAAACATTGTCCAAGCAAGGACAGCCTGTGGACACAGCAAAGGCTGTAACTGTTCATTGTCCTCATAAATGCACACTAGTCATTCATATTCTCTACATTAAGCCGAGATTTTTGTCATACCAGTTTCATGAGTTCAGTCTTAGTTTCAGCACTGAAACATGCGATGCTTCTCTCTCTAGAAATAACTGCTAAAAATAAGTGCTAGAATGTGTCACTTAACGTACAGACCACCTAATGACACACATGTGACAGAGTTCCTGGAGGGTGTCCCCTTCATGGTATTCTTGCTTATCAAGTGTGCTTATTTCTAGCTTCAGTAGTCTGGGATTTTAGCATTTACAGCAATGTTACTTGTAAAAGACTACATCCAGAATTGGAATATGTGACTAGGAATATGTATGTTACTACTATTTGCTCGCTCTCATTTTACCACTGAAAAGCCATCTTTCTTGACATGGAGAGGGAAATAAGGGAGGAGAAAAAAAGGAATATGAAGTAAAGGCAGCCATAGTTAGAGGAGGAGTAGGGAAAGATCCAGAAGCAACAGTTCGGGGCTGAAGTTTAAACCTCTGCAATAACTTTCAGATTGTCCGCAAGGAATGAGGTTTGATTATGAGCTTTTTTTTTTCTTTTTTTTTCAGTATTTTGTATCTCACTTCCTTTATCTTTTCTTGCTTTGAAGGCATCTGTTAAGCTGTCCTGTGCCCTTTGAAGGCAAGGGCTTATATTAGAGCTGATAAAAGGCAGATTTTTCTCTAGTGTCGTTAGTTCTTCTCGATGTTATTATTAAAGCTGTGACTAAAGAATTGCTGGCCAACGTTGTACTGAAATTAAGTGCTTTGTATCCTGTTCAAAAATGGCAATAAAAACATTCTACTTGGTTTGTTTAAAAAACCCAACAAACCAAAAACCAAACAAAAGCCCCCACAGTGATATAAGGAAATGAATTAGTTGAGACATTGCAAAGATTAATTCTGCATGTAATTAGTATAATTGAGTTGTTGTGTATTGGAGAAGAAAACTGAAGCAGGGTCAATCCTCCAGCTGCTGTCCTGGCTTCAGAGGCTGTAGGCCTAAGGTGCTGTTTTGAAGACTGTTTGGTGCGTCTGGTTGTAGGGTGATTCACTGGAAGTAGGGGAGCAGAGTCCATGATGATGAACAAGTAACTGTAGTGCTTCTCTGTGAAAACTTGGAGAGGATGCTGAAGAATAGCATAGACGAGACAGAAGTTACCGTGTGCCGAAGGTCATGATATTAAATGTCTTATAACTTCCAGTGGCCTCTTTGGGAGCAAAATTAGTCAAAAAGGGTTTTGAAAAATCTGGGCTGAATACTGATGAGTGCTGCATGATACTGATACCTGCATATGGTATTTGATTTAGTAGTCTTTCTTTTTTTTTTTTTTTTTTTTTTTTTTTTTTTTTTTTTTTTTTTTTTTTTTTTTTTTTTTTTTTTTTTTTTTTTTTTTTTTTTTTTTTTTTTTTTTTTTGGTACCAGTGTTGCAACAGTGTCTTCTGCAGCTGGATGCTGTTTCCTGGGTCTGCTGCTGGTTTTAAAGAACTTTGTATTTATTTTGACTGCTCATTCAAACAGTAATATCACTAGTGGCTTTCTTCCCTATAAGTGGTGGGATTAATGTTTCCTCTTACTTAGGAGAGTAATAGATGTAGTGATTGTTCCTGAAATGTAGTATCTTTTTCCTCCCACTATAGGAGATTTCAGCTATCCTAAGACAAAAGTTCTGCAGATATGACCTCTTCTCAAGTGACTTTTGAAGTAAAAGGAACAGCAGAACCAGGTACCCAAATCGTGCTTTCTTTTATGTATGGTTTACCTAGAAGAAAACTTAATAGTAGAGTGTTCAAAGGCTGTTGTGTCTGTTTTCCTCAGAGGTAAAAGAACATGTCAGTTCAAATATCTAAAAAAGTCATTGTAAAATAAAGTAATTAAGAAATTTCACATAGGAATTTGAAAATGAGAGCTGGGAAATAATTTTTACCTCTTCCTCCCAAAAATTTCATACTGTGCTAGAGATTTTGATGCTCACTGAAATGGTTATGACTGGTTTAAAATCTTCTGTCTGTAGTACTTTTTTATTCCATGGAAATGAATATTTGTATTCTGAACCATGACAGGCAAGTGTTGATGTGTTTGTTCTGTTTTTTATTCTCTCTACAACCCCATTGAAAGTTCTCACAAGATGTGAACTCTACTAGGAGTTAAGGACAGAAAGAATATGCAGCTTAATTCGGTATTCTATCTATGCAAACGTGTAAAATAACTTCTGTAATTGAAATGAGGAACACAAGGTATCAGATCAAGAGATTTAGTGTTTATAGATTGTGCTAATATACACTGACCTTCATCTTTGGAACTCTGAAGAAAGGTGTTGTGGTTTAACCACAGCTGGTAACTAAGCTCCATACAGCTGCTTGCTGTGGGATGGGGGAGAGAATCGGAAGAGTGAAAGTGAAAATTCATGGGTTGAGATAAAGGCAGTTTATAAGGAAAGCAAAAGCTGTGTATGCAAGCAAGATAAAACAGGGAATGCACTTGCTGCTTCCCATGGGCAGGGAAGTGTTCAGCCATCCCCAGGGAAGTTACTTGAGAAGGCAAATCCTGTAACTCCAGATGTCCCCCCCCTTTCCTCCTTTTTCCCCCCAGCTTTTATTGCTGAGCATGGTGTTGTACGGTCTGGAATATCCCTGGGGTCACTGGGGTCAGCTGACCCAGCTGTGTTCCTTCCCAGCTTCTTGTGTGCCACCAGCTTCCTCTCTGGTGGGGTGGAGTGAGAAACAGAAAAGGCCTTGGTGCTCTGAGCACTGCTCAGCACTAACGAAAATATCCCTCTGTTATCAACACTGTTCCCAGGACAAATTCAAAACATAGTCTGTACTAGCTACTAGCTGCCAAACCCAGCACAGAAGTTCACCAAAAAGTCACTGATGGTTGCCTCCCAGAAGTCGATGAATATGGGAGCATGTACAGATTGACAAAATTCCTGAGACAGGCAAATATCAGATGGCATAAATGTCTACTCTAATTGGTGAGGAAGAAAATGATAAAAACATTTTACAAGTTTTGACATCTACCCGGTGTTTCTCCCTTGTGATTCAGCATTTGGGAACAGAAAACTGACACACGATGTGGACATTAAGCCTTTAGTACAGAGTAGTGTTTTTATAGCATTCTGGAAAAAACTTTAAAATTAAAGAGTATATTGACCTTAGATCGAATGCAATTATAAAGCAGTGGTTTGACTATACAGTGGAGTGTTGCAAGCCATCCTGTTTACACTGTTGCTTCCACAGTTGTGATGGCACTGTCACTAATAAAGTTGACTTTGAATGGGTAACTTTTCTCTTGTACTTAGAATATCTACAAGAAAAAGTAGGGTCAGTGAGAACTAGATCCCACCTCAGCAGCTGTTTACGAAGAATTATCTGGAAATACTTATCACATGTATAGCATAAAGAATTGACACAGAAGGTTGCTTCTCCTTATGACAGTATTGATATTGTTGGTTTTGACCTGGGAGAAGAGCTCTGAGATGCAGCAGTGTCAAGATGCAGTCTCATGAAAGAAGAGAGGTAAGTTTCAGAGCTATCAGCAGTTCTACAAGCAGCAGAGTTTCCAGTTTGTTTAGAAATGTCAGGTGCTGATTTTGTCAGATCGGTATGGTGAGTAGTCAGTTGGTGAGATAAAGAGCGTCACTTTGAGCACTGACATGCTCCCTGTGTCCTGATCACTGTCTCTCATTGTTGATGTCAAAACCCATGATTCCAGGGCTAGTAGAACAGAAAGGCATCACCAGCACAGGAATGATGCTCTCACTGCTGCTTCTTCCAGCCAAACCACCTCTGGAGTCAACATTGGTGATGAAACCCAACACATTGGTGTGCAGGCTTTTGTATATTTGTGTCATGGAGTGCTTCTTTTTGCCTCATTTTAGCAGAAGGAAGAGGGTCACTGGTTACTGGCTTATGACTCCTTTAGCTCTTCATCAGGACACAGTCCCATATCAAGAAACTGCTTGGTGGGAGATTAGGTGTTATGAAATAAATAAGGGAGCTTCTAGCTCCCAGCCGAACACAGAAGTTCTGCCCCCACACAGCTGGCCCAAACAGGCAGATTGCAACATCAGTAGAGCTTGTTGCAAGCTTTGGGACTGGACAGAAGGTTTAGAGAAGCTTCCCTTGCTGCTGCTGAAGGAGCTCTGCCAGTAGCAGCCTTGGATTCCCTGACAAGGGGTAGGGAGAAGTTTAGAACCCCTGATCTTAAAACACAAAAACCAAAGCAAACCCCACGGTGTTAAGAATTGCCTGTGGAAAGGCAGTTTATCATGCGTTTCACTTGTGCCTTTACTGAGGTAATTTAAGCAGTGTTTTACAAATCCTGATTCAGCCTCACTGTTGAAGGGAGTTTAGGAGTGACTGCATCATACTCAAATATTGCCTTGTGTATTGAGTGAGCAGTAGTTACTGAATGTTTAAAACAGAAGGCTGGAAAACTATTCTAACTGGCTCCTGTTAAGAGGAATATAATTTTGATGACGCGTCGAAGTTGTCTGCTGTTTACACTAGGATGGATTAAGTACTGCTGTTTTAAAGGGATATTAAAAGAATTTTTACTTCTTTTTAATATCTGCAGTCAGAAATTCTACCTGTGAGGTATTCAGGTGGTCTTCCTCCTTTATCTCCTCCCTGCAAAAGCAAACCATCATGTGGCTCAGTACAGGGTGGAAAAGGGAAAGCACCTGACATTGGCAATTGTGTGCAGTGAATTGCATAGTAAGTATACTCGTAATGCAGATTTTTGTCTGCATTTGTATGCCTACAGTGAGCATCCAGAAAGCTTGGGCTTTTTTTTCTAATGAATTGCAACAGAAGATTTTTTTTTTTTTTTTTTTTGTTAAAGGATTGGAATTCAAGATGTCATCTAAAATTACTTCAGTAAGCTGCTTTTAGGAACAAATTACTTGATTTCTGGCTTTTGTAGATTTTTTTTTTTCCCAACCCCTGGATCTGCAGAGGTTTCTTTCATAAACAGTCCTGGTGGTATCTCTTATTAGTTTAATTGGAAAGAATGGACACAATTTTAGGGGCATAAGGGCTTCCTCCAGACTTATTTTGGACTTTACCCTTCCAGCTGTGATATGTGGCTTAGTAAAAGGTAGTGCACAAATGTTGCATATAGCTTGTCTACTTTGTATCTATGGATTTTTGTGGTTCCAACACAATGGATTATTTGTGGTTCCAAAGTGCTATACTGCTTTCCCCTCTTTAAGAACAGGAAATAACCATCATAGATACTTGTATCATTCTTTTGTGATGCCTGAATATACTTTAAAACTTAACATTTGCTCATTCTGCCACGGCTTTTTTTTTTTTTTTTCTTGTGTCTAAAAATCTTGTTGAAACCGTGTAAGAGCAAAATACTAATCTGTCCTTTCCATTAGTTTCTGTCATTGTTGTTATTCTTACAGTCTGATACAGGCAGGTTTTATATTAAAAACAAGGGTAAGTTACAGTGGTAACTTAAATTCTGGGATATGCCAGAGTGAAAAATATACTATTACAATCTTTTGGATTCTGTATGTGTATATATATACATGCACTAAGACACACACAGTGTGATAATTTCATGTGAGTTTTTTTGTGTAACAGTGTTAACCTTTTTATATTCAATAAAAGCTGAAAGCAGAGCAGCAAAATTAACTTTATTTCTCTTGGGAATCAAATTAATTGGATGTGTTGCCTTGGGAATAATGCTAGCAACATCCTAGTTTGTGCTTTCTAAATTGTTGGTGTGAATTTGAGAGAATTGCACTTTTGAACATGTAGGTTACTTAGTACTGTGTGTGTATCTGTACATGGGTTAAAAAAATGCAGAATATCTAGGAAAAAAATGCATTATCTTGACATTAAACATTTTACAGTGAAAATCTGCCTGCTGCATTTCCAGTATTAGTTCAGAACAATTTTGGAAGCCAACCCTTTTAAGGGGTGGGGTTCTCAGTAGTCCCTCTCTCAGTGAGGTCCTTACGGTAGTGAAGAAAAAGCTATTGTAGCTTTGGGTAGGGGAAAATTCCTTTCTGAAATGAAAAAAAGGAATTTTAGATGGGTGATTCTGGCGTGTACATTTAAAATATCTGAAGGTTTGACTGTGTAGGCTGTACTTATTAATGCCACAGATACTGGAGTAATGATAATTGTGAGTTATTGTCTGTTTGTTTGTTTGTTTTTCTTCAGGAGAGGTTTTTGCAATATGCGGGAGCTGCAGTGCTTTGGGAAATTGGAATCCACAAGTTGCTGTGGTCCTCCAGACTATTGATCAGTAAGTTGGGTGTGGGGTTTCCTGGTCTTGTTTTGTGTTTTTTCCTAGTCTTTATTGACTTTTTTTTATTTGTTCCATCTGAAGTAGCTCGAGTTCTGGAGCAGCATATTTATTCTGAGTTTGTGTTTATAAACATGTACTGTTAGTAAAATTCCAGAACTTCATGTGTTGTCCTTGAGCATTTTGGATGCTTAAGAATGTGTTTAAGAAAACTTTTAGCTTGTGTGGGTTTTTCTGGTTACGGATGTTGCTTCTACTGTTGTGGCTGGCATTTCACTAGTTTACCTATAGGTATTTTGAATGAGAAACTACTTTGGGGTAGTTCTCAGTCCCATAACTACACAGCAAATTGTAGGAGATATACAGGTTAAAAAGAAAGTAAACACTATAAACGAGTTATTGTTATGGCTATTAAGTGATGGGGAGAAGATTGAAGATTGTTTAAAATGAGAGTTTGCATAAAAACTTTTAGAAGATGTGTCTATAAGCATGAGTGTATATGAAGAAAGTTGAAATGCAGTGGAGAAATTCAGTATTTTCTTGCAATGGTGTTACCTTATTGCAGTTTGTATGATTCAGGAAAATAGGGCTTGCAGGATGTATTTATAATTCTGTTAGTGACTTGCTGTGTGATCTTGGATGAGTCTCTGAATTATTTCATTGTGTTTTCCCCATCTGTTAAATAAGGATGAAAATTATCACTGTTAGCACACTTCAGATCTGTAGTTTCAATTCTAAGTTTTACTCGTGTTTGGCTAAGTTACCTTGTAATAACTTTCCTTCAGCAAGACACTAGATTTTATTTTAGAATATCACTTAGACATACGTCTGAGGTGGCTTTTAGACTGTATTTTTAAACTTTTTTTGTTTGTTGTTTTTTTTTGTTTATTCTTTTCTCCACAGTCAGTCATGGAAAGTTGCTGTAGAGCTTCCTAGAGGAGTTCCTGTTCAGTATCGATATTTTAAAGGATACTTCCTAGAACCTAAGGTATGTACAACATTTTCTGGTTTAAGTTGGTTCATCCCTAGTAAAAATTCCCTTATTTGAAATAAAAAGGATTTCCTCAGTTAAACATGAGATTTTTTTAGAAATAAATCTTAAATTGCAACATATGAAATGTTAAAACAGTTGTGGAAATACAGGCAGTTCAATTCTGGAAATACATAACCATGTGCTGTTAACTTCAGTTATTTTTGTTAAATTGACTTCTCTCTTTCACCAGTGTTAGTGTATTAAAGTCAGTCCAAACGATATACCTGATATTATTAAAGCTTAAATGATACGGTGAGATTTTCATAGTTAGAATTGAATATGGAATTCAGCAGGGCAAGGATCTCTAGTGTGGAAGCAAGTGGTAGCAGGAGAGAAATGGTTGGTGTAGGAGGTGTATTTAAGTTTGCCTAATTACTACAGTTTTTAAAATCAGTGCAGCTTTTTTTTGGTGAAGCACGAGAAATATTAACTAGCTTTTGTACTGCATAGTTAACAGGTTAATCTCCTGGAATGAAAAGATGAAACAACGAGCAGGGCATCCCAGTGTTTTCTAGGTGTTTGTATATAGGTATTTGCATGACTTGGAGGGGAAAAAAAAAACCTATGAGACAAACACAGATGTGTTTTTTCAGGTATTGATGTAAAAGTTGCATATGACTTGAATGTGTGTGAATTAGAGTTGAATGTATGTGGCAGTATACTGGTCTGTAAAGATCACACTAGGGTAGGGGGAAGTTCTTCAGAAGGGATGAGGCTGCATCCAGAAAAATGTTGGACTAAATTGGGAAAATAAGCAGCTACTGTTTTTCTTAATAACAAGTAGTAACTTAAGCAGCTACCTTTGCTGTCTTTCTTATTCTATTAATATCCTGTAGCTGTGTACCCTGGGCTGTAGTTCTTCATGGAAATTTGGATTATGAGGGCTGTAACTAAATGTGCAAAGGAGTTATAGAATCATCTCATCTATATCTTTAAAGTATTTTGAATTACTGTCAAGAGCATGTAATTTTTTCTCAGCTGTACTAGCCTGGTTTTCCCTGAAAAAATATTTAACAGAAGTATCATTTCAGTGAAGGACACTAATTTCAAATGAAACACAGTTCTATTTTTTTTTTTCATTACAACATGTGAAATAATCTAGTCTGAAACTGATATTTAAATTGGCTCTTTGAGGCAAAATAAAGGAATGCTGGTAATAGATTCTCTTTTCCTGAGGTCAGTATAAGGCCAAAGTAGATTAATTCTTACAGCCTAGCAGCTCTGATGGGACTTTTATATATATATTTTTTTTTTTGCAAATGTCCATAACTTAAAAATATAAGCACTAACACACTAGAAAAAAAGCGCAGTTAGTGAGAAATCGGCAGAAAAATGTGCTCATAGACAATACAATTTTCTGTTTTACCATTTGAAAAAGTTTACAATATGTATTGGTGAGTGTGTTTCTTTAAGTAGGTGCTCTGTATCGTGCACACTTTATGTACCGTGTGATGCAGAGTCTGCCAAGGTAAGTATGAATTTTATGGAATACCAGCATAAAGAGCTACTATATATAAAAAGCAGGAAAAAAAAAAACACCAAAAAAACCAAACCACCCTCCAAAGCACTGTGTGGGAATTGCCAGGGTACAGAGTTATCCATTTAGCTTGTACCTCTTAAGTGCATAAGGGCTTTATTTCGTGTATCATAAAGTCTTTTGAAGAAAAGAAGTCCAGATAGAATGTTTTCTTCCACTTTCTGTAAAGTTTTGAAGAACAATGAAAAAGTAGGATTTGCTTTTAACAAGAATATCATGTGCGGTATAGTGCAAATGAGACAGTATATGGAGAACGTTACCAGATCTGATAAGGAAAAGATATTTCTAAGTTAAATTAATCAGAATATTTTTATTTCACTAATTTTTTTTACTAGGCATTGCATGTGATTAATCTCCTAAATTTGACAGGCTTGCAATATATGATCTCTCAAACACTGTTAACTTTTTATATCTGCAATTTTTGTGTGCCACGGTCTGTAATAGAATAACAGGTACATGTGTAATCTTTAACATATACCGAAGTCTGAGTATTATGATTTTTACATCACATAACTGAATAAATCATGCTGAAGACAGATCTAGCTGAAATTAGTGTTCCCTTCTATAGCTACTGCATCTGTGAAGGTGCTTGAGTTGGAAGGTGCTTTGAGTGGCAAAGATGAGGGTGATACATGTTTACACAGGGAAATGATAGTTCCCATATGATCCATAATATTGCTACAGACTAGATGTGAAAATAGGCAGAATAATTGACATTTTATTAAAAAGACACACAGGAAAGTATTTTTCTCACCAGCATTTGAAAAAGCCATTATTTGATCTCTGTATATTTTTATACTTGAAGGATAGTATGATGTAATGGGAAGTTTAGTTAGTTTGCATTGAAGCATGTTGGTGTTAATGTAATTGTGGTTATGTAAATGGAGCAGTTTTTAAAAAAAGTATTAAAATTAATAGGATTTTTGCATGAGTACAAATAATATATGTGCAAAGAACATTTTATCATAAAATTGTGCCAGATCTTGGCTCCTGCATGTTGGGAGATACCACTATTTTGTAAATATTGTGATGATAAGAATCACCTTAAGCATTTAAAAAGAAAAATAAATGCATACACTTGATGGAATAAGACTGTAACTATTTTGCTTGAAGTTTGTTCTTTCCTTAAACGTAGTCTGGTACCAGTTAACTCACTGTGAGCATCTTCCTATGTTTTATTCTACACCTACCTTCTGTTTGTTGTGGAGGCAGAAATGGAGGGGTGTGAGTGAGACCCCCTCAAAACACCCTTGTTTGGAATTTGTCTTCTTTATATCTGATGTTTTAGGAGAATAATTTTACGTGCATCATTTACATGGGACATATTTGAAAACCTTAGTAAGGAACATACCTTGTTAAACTGTTCTGTATTTGTTCTTCCAACAGTAAATAAGCATGCGAGGTTAGGGTTATTTCTTTCAAGGCAAGTATGAAATATCTCTGCATGTAGATGGACTTTAAAAACGGGATTGGGGAATATTTTTCACGCTTGTGAGAATGCTACTTAATTATAGATGTTTCAAATGAGAGTTAAATTTGCTTTTTTTAATGTAAGTAAATAAATCTGTTTAGTGCCTGGACTGTAGTAACAAAGGCGAAACTTAGACCTAGACTCAGTAATTTTCTTAATATAAAAATGCTTTTCCTGGAATAATAACCCGTAATTATCCTGATAATAACAAAGGAACACCTCTGCCATGACTGTGCTTAGACAGCAGATTGTGTGTTAAACTGTTACAAAATACTAGAGTTATAAAATCTCTAGCTCAGGACTTCCTGGCAGGTGACAGATGTGTTGTGTTGCCTTGCACCTCAGTTATGATGGCTGAATGGCTTTGTTAATTGTTTAGTTCTTTGCTTAATTATTGTCTCTTACATGGTACAGAAATCCAAAGAGATTTTTGTCATAAATGTAACATCAGCAGTTAAGTCTAATTTAGCTGTTTCATACTCTTGAAGTAGAATATTATTTTAATCAGTGAAGTGCAGTTGGATAAATGCATTTGGGTGACGGTTTTAAGATTTTTTTGTTTGGTTGGTTGTTCTTTTTTTCCTTGATGCCTACTGTGTTGTGTTGCCTTGAATCAGGAACTTTGGAACTGAACTCCCAAATTATCATTTAAATTATCATTTAAACATTCATGGGAGTATTTTCATTTTTTTAATCACACCGATCACCCAAGCACTTCATGCAGATTGTGCATCAGGTTGCTTTGAACCTCTGGAACATTATGCCAGATAAGCATTTTACCCTTAATTTCAGAAGTCTCTAATGACTACCGGGGAAGCCCTGGCTTCTCATAATGTAAGAGGGCTGGATTTTTAAAGAAAACTCTTGAGTGTCCTTTCAAAGCTTTAAAATTGCACCAGATGTTCAGATAATAAAAATCAAGTAACATAATCTTTGTGTTTGCTTTCAAAAAAAAAAAAATGTCTGTATTAGTAGAAAAAGATCCATGCCACACAATGCCACTTACTATAATCTCAGTATACTGCCCACTGAGATGCTTGACATGACATTTGGGTAGATGCCGTTGTAAGGCTGTCCCAGCAGAGAATCTCTTTTTGGGTAACATTACCATGCTGTGAATATTGATGACGCATCATTTACTCCTGCTGCTGAACTGGGCTGCCTTTCAAATGTGGTCAGTATATGCCGCTGAAATTACATCAGTATTTTAACCTCATTTTAACAATGGCTTCTGTTATGTGTAATTAAAACATTATTTAAATGCCTATAAATTCAGAGATAATCTGAGCAGGGATTGAGAGGGTTCTTGGTCATGTTGTGCCTGTTCTCTAATCCATTGCCCTTTTTTTCCAGGTAGCTTTGCTTGGCTCTTCTTAGTATGGAAAGTGTTGAGGGTTCCTGGGATTAAATGCACAATCAGTCCACTGTATTCCTTTCAGGAGATGAAATTTTGCTGAATGTGTCCAACATGGTGTGCTTATTGTTGGGGATAATATTATTTGAATTCTCATTCATCGTTTTAGAACCTGAAATTAAAGTGGACAATTACAGTAGTGTAAGAAATAAACTGATATTTTCATACAGTATGTTGGGGGTTTTTACAAGGAAAAAACCTTTTGAAGAAAACAATCCATGTTAGGACTGACTTGCATTCCCCGGGTTCACAAACTACAAGTTCTGTGTGTGTTCATGGGAGTTGCTGTTGGAGAGCTTGCATGCCTGCATGGTGTAAGTAAAAGGCAGCCTCCCTGCTGGCAAACATGGTTTTCAGCTTTAGAAACTATGATTGCAAAATGCAAATGTGAAGGTGCTGTGAAAGAAAGGGAAAGAAACCTCTCATCATTTACTTTTCTAGATATCCTAAGGGTGATCACTGTGGCCGCTATGAGAAAATGCGAATTAAAACTGCCCTATAACAGGAATAAACTGAAAGCAATAGTATAATTTATTTATATTTACATGCATTCTGTCTTTAAAACATAACTTTAAGCATATGTATTTTATTCGGACATGACCCGTAAGTATGGATGCCTCTGAACTCATTAGGAAAATTGCTTTAGCTAAGACTCACAGTAAACCTGTCTTACTGAGCACTTTTTAGATATTTGGTGTTTGTTAACTCATCCAAAACCATGGCAGATTAAATGTGTTTAATATATGTCAAGAAATCCCATCTGCTTGTAAAGGATTTATTAGGTGAGCTGTAATATAACAAAGCATTATGGTACTTTGTAATTACACTGCTGCGTTTGAAGCTTGTCTGGATGTCCCTGTGGATCTGAAATGTGTTTAAACAAGAACCTGAAGTACTGGGGCAAGTTGGAATTTGAAGCTTGCAAAACTTTGGCAATAGAAGCAAGTCTTTTTGGAAATCAAGAGTTACTTAGGCCCAAACACCAAAATGACAAACTGCAGCTATTTGACAGTGTTTTTTGCGTCTGAGACTAACAACCACACCCTGCTAAGGGAAACTTCTTAGGGTGACTGAGCTGGGAATCAGGCATGTTCTTTCTGTTAAGTGTTTGTTACTTGAAAGCTTTAACCTAGAAAGCTTTTTCAAACTTAAATTGTTCTGAAAGAAGAGATTGAGTTACTGTTCTGATTATCTCTCTGAGTCTTGGCTATGTTTGTCAACAAATGTACTCTTCTGGTGGAAAGTAATTTTTTTTTTTTTTTGAATGAAAGAGTTTGATTTATCTTGCTCCAACTGGAATAGACTGCAGGGGCTTCATTGCTATCTGATTGGATCAAATATTTGTGTTTTGATTAGATGCTAAATAATTTGCTCTTCTGTACCACAACTGAAATAACCGTGTTTTACAGACTTTGAATTAGGCAGGCAAATTTTGAAGGAGAACCCACCTCTGCAACTGCTACCTGCATGAGTAGATGCTGAATGCTGTTTGAAATTAGGGATGTGGAGTATGTTTTTTCATAAACTGTTGCTGTAGTATCTTGAGAAAAAAGCAAGCTCCCTTAATGAGTTCAGAGACACTAAGGTAGTCCAGTGGAATAGCTGTAAGCAGTAAAGATTTAATAATTCTGTGTAACTTCTCCACCATGTCACACTGTCACAAGTTTTCTCATATGTAAATGCAACACATCAGGTAGTGTCATCAGCAGTTGCAGGGTTAAGAAGCCTGATCTGTTTTCTTTCTTTCTCTTTCGTTCTCTGTCTCTGTTCCCCCCCCTTTCTTCTCCTACTTTTTCTTCCTTAAATCTCTAAGCTGAGTTCATGACCATCCCAAACAGGTTCATGGGTAGAAAATCAGATATAACCAAAAAAAAAAAAAAAATTATTGCAGACATTTAACTTTTAAATTACAGACTATCGATGGTCCCTGCGAAGTCATAGTTCACACGTGGGAGACTCATCTGCAACCACGATCAATTACCCCTTTAGGTATGGGCATCAACTGCATCTGTTTGAGGCATATGCATAAGATTACTAATATGCTGCACACTGGTTTAGAGGGATTGATAAGTATAGTTTTAAAATATTTAAATTTATTAATGTGTGGGAGGTATAGACTTTTTCTTTGCACAACATGGGCCTTACTCTCAAAATGTAAGTATACGTAAGTGGCTTAAAAATGGAGTGCATTTGAAATTCTTTGCTTTCATCCTTAAGATTATGTGAGTTGTTTTTTTTTTATTGATTTGGAATTGTAATAATTTTCTGTAAGTAAATTCTTTGAGACTAAGGATCCATATTATGTTTTTAGAGAAAATGGGGGGGGGAGGGTGTGAAGCTGGTTTTGTTTAAGTACTATTTAATTATTAGTAAAACTTTAAACCGAAAATTTTTAATAAGGCTTCCTGAAGTAAATGGATTGATGTAAATAGAAACGTGAATGGACTTATTTACCTGGCAATTTAGTAGAAATGTATTTTGCTGGAAGAAAAGGCGGCATGCAGACTTGAAGTTACTAATGCTTTTCTGAACAGGGGAAAAGCTGGAGTTGTGAGAGAGACTGAAATAACCTTTGAAAGCAGCTTGTAGTTTAGGTCTCTTGTGGTGCTATGGGATGGCATGTTTTATGCAATGTGTTTGCTAGGATATGAAAAGTATTTCCTCCACGTTTAGTTCACATCTGTTAAAAACTTACTGATTTGAAATACGGTCTTTTAGAAAGAAGGTGGTATTAAATAAACTGTTTTTTAATCATGTATAGTACCATGATCATGTTCCTGCCCCTGCCCCTTTTTTTTTGCTTTTTATTTCAGTTGAATTAGTTGTGTGTTTCTATTCCTGCAAGATTGTTTCTATATTTGCCAGTAACTGACAAGGGAAGCAGCCTATCCTGTGCTAGAGTCTAGACTTTCTCTAAATTTAGATAATCTTATTCCAAATAGTCAGGAGTATTTTTTTTTTCCCACAAGTAGTACTCAATGCTTCATCTTTAAGAAAATGCAACAAACCCAGTATGTTAGTACTAGGTCATTATGATCCTGAATTTTGGCTGTGGTTATTAAAAAATGAGGTCAGGCCCATGATTCTTCTTAGGGAAAAAAAAAAAAAAGGATTAATTGCTGTAGAGGCAAAAATCTGTGAAGATTTACGTTTTGAGAAATGTGTGGTTTGTTTAGACTACTGCAGTTCTGTTAATGCTGGTGAATTTACTTAGTGCCTTAAGATTTCAGTTATTAAAACTTTGGATAGGGTAAGGGTAAAAGTGAGTGTGACCTGAGTGTTTTGAATATTTCATGCTAGGCTGGTTTCTGTCATGTGGGCAGAATAAGCATTTTAATCGTGACTCACTTGATTTAACAGCTTGAACTATAAATGTGCAGGAGGATAACTTTCTTGTATGTTAGCAAGAAACTTTAATGTCCTTGGCATTACCTTGGCAAGTAAAGCATCTTAGATACTAGTAGGATGTAAATATCAGTAAAATACTGCAGCAAACCAGAAAGTTATGCAACCTTCTCGCTCTTCTCAGTTCAGATTACTTTAGGTAAAACATGGCCTTCTGTATGTTGACTGTTTTTTCTTGCAGAAACTAAGAAAAAGCCTAAGTTGGGATAAACCTTTGTAGAAGGTTGCAAAAAACATGCTTCTTTGTCTGTTTCAGTTTTCTTGCCTTTTTTAGATACACTTTTTAGAAGTGCGGTGGAAAAGTAGAATTAATTTAACTTGGCAATGATTTTTTAAAATGTGAATACTAATTAGATTTTTTTTTTTATTCTTTCCCCCTCCTTTTAATTCTAGAAGATGAAATTACTGTTGACGATGGTTTCTTTGGAATCCATAGTAAGTGAGACATATTGACCTTTACTCTTAACCATAAATTTAATTCAAACGAGATTAAGTCGTGTAATTGAAAAATATTTGAAATCATAAGTTTTAAGATTTGCCTGTGATTGTTTTCTCTGCTTATACAGTTACTTTTGTGTCCAGCATTTGTGAATTCACATGCAGGCTTTAATCCCTTCTACTGTTAATACAAGACTTCTGAGAAGAGTTGAAATGTTGTCACTCTGATGCGGTTAAAGGTTGAAATTGGCAAATTTTAAGTCATGAGCATATACAAAATAGACTTAGCTTTCTCTTAATACCTAGCTTAGAAAAACTCTTCATGTCCAGAAGGACGTTATCACTTGCACTAAATGTACACAGTCTGCCTCCTCAGTTAGACATGTAACTGCTAAAAGGCTCTTATCAGCCCAGACCTTGTGTGCATATGTGTCTCATTTCTGGCACTTCTGACCCCTCCTCTCTCTCAATCCTGTGACACTTAAGGTAACTCATTATCTTATACATCTTGTCTTAAAGCCCTTCCTTTTCTCCTCATATCCTCATCAAACCAGAGGTTTAGCTAGGAACTCTTCATAACTGTGGGATCTGCTTCAGCACCTGGTTTGGTGGCTTTGTGCTTGCTGGTCATGCTGCTTGTAGGCTTTCCTTGTCCTGATGGTGAGGTTGAGGATTCTCCTCCATGCTTTGTTTCCCCACCGAAACTGTTGCTATTCCCTGTCCTGCAGACTTACACAGCTTTACTGGCATTGATTTTGGTGAGCTCATTTAACACCTGTATCTCAAGAGAAACAGGGAACCTCTAATTGCTTATGAGTCTTCAGAGTTCCCAGTGTTATTCCACGTATTGAGAGATCCCAGGACAAAGGAATGTTATGTTTGCCTTTGGAGGCTTAATTTAGCCCTTGATAGCATGTTTAAAATTAACAGTGCTCTCCTGCAGACAGTGTACACATAATCATTGTTCCTGTTTAATACCCTTAGAAGTGCAGTATCTGTTTTCTGTTCTAGGTGGTTCAGTAACACTGGTGAAAGGATGCACTCAACAATTGCTCTTGAAATATTGTAGGATAAGCTAGTGATAAGGAGGATTGTCTGGAAGGTGATATTAGAGGAACTGTATTTCTATGTTTGTATATTCAACCGTCTAGATCTCCCTAAAATAAGTTACTAAAGTGTCTACTACTTTTGTTTGATTTTTGATAGATGGTATTGAAACTGTGGATGCTGGGTGGCTGACATGTCAAACAGAAATAAGATTACGTCTGCATTATTCTGAGAAACCACCTGTACTGATATCTAAGAAGAAATTTAAAACATCAAGGTTTAGGTAAGAGCCTGCTCATCTCAGTGTGCAATTTACCTGATGTTAATTGTCAATACTACTGTTTCATCTTTACTTAACTAATGTAGCCTTTAAATTAATTCTGGGTTGCTAATAGGAGTGTACTATTAGGCTACTTTCGAAGTATCTAAGCACAAATACTTACTCCATGCTTGTTTTTTTGTTTCTTGCTTTTTGGATGGAACTTAATAATTCTCTGCTGTTAATTTCAGCCTTGTCAAGTGGGAACTGTTTAACTATCTTTCGTAAGGAAGGTGTCCCTGCCTATGGCAGCGGATTGGAACTGGATGATCTTTAAGGTCCTTTCCAACCCAAACCATTCGATGATTCTGTGATACTTGATTTCTTAATGTTCGTTTTACAATTTTGATACTCCCTCCCACCAATTCCAGCTTCTGATGAATGGAAACTTTAATTAAGAATTAATACTTACAGTGCGCTCTCCCGAGCTTTGTCTTTTTTCCTTGCTTGTTATAGCTTAAGTCACTGAGATAATTCTCTTTGTGTGGAAGGTTTGCTCTGTGTAATAATTCTGAATCTCATAGGGAGGTTCATTCCTCTCAGTTCAGAATTTTTCAGAAATTGTATTCAGTTTAAATGATCATTTAGGATTTCTCAGGGGACTTAATTACTTCAGACTTTATTACTTATGTCTAATAGAGTGTACTTATCTGCCTTATCACTGTTCATAGAGACGTAAAATTCTGTGTGTGTTTAGCAGCAGCCACCAATGTTCAAGTCTTGATGTTGAGATGAATTCTTGTATTGTATGACCTTCTGCTCAAGCTTCTTTCTAATTCTTTATAATTTTCAAGGAAACTTCTGTGACTTAACCATTTGTTTCATATTTCTGGTTGAACAGGGTTAAATTGACCCTAGAAGGCCTAGAGGAAGATGAGGATGATGAAGAGGGCCAAGAGAAAACATCCCCTACTGTACCTCACAAAATGGCAAACACTGTGGAGTTCTCCTTAATAAGTAATAATGACTATAAGTGTCGACACACTCAACCAGACTGTGGTTATGCTTTGCAGCCAGACCGATGGATAGAATACACAATACAAACCATGGAGCCTGATAACTTGGAATTAATCTTTGATTTTTTTGAGGTACATCTATTTACCCCTAAGAAGCAGTTCCAGTCTGCCTTTGAGAATTAAACTGAATAATTGTGATGATTTCACTGTTGAAACAGGGCCACTGCCTGATATTATTGGATCTGCTGGATTTGTTTACACAAGTATGAGACTATTGGTTCCCAGCCCATTTTGCAGAAAGGTTTTGTCAGTCTCCTTAATGTAGCACAGAAAGTCTTTCAGTTCTCCTTATTTAGATGTCAGTACAAATTAGACTCAAATCTCTGTGTGTGGTATTGTAGTTAGGTTGGTTTGATATTTATCCTTTACCAGAGCTAAGTTTTGCAGCTCCTGCTTGATCCTGAACAATGTGTATATGAACTAGTTATATCACAATTATTTAATCTAAATTTTTATGTTATAAGCAGAAGAGATTTCTCTGAACTAACCAGTGCGAATTCAGACTGGATTCTCATTGCTCTACCTGTTATTTTGGACTGTATTCCCCCCCCCCCCCAAAAGATCCTAATATTCAGAGTCCATTTTAAAAGAAAACATCTTTTTATCTCTTTGTACTGTGTATGCAGAAGAAGGTTTTAAGCATTCTCTCTTTGGTCTGAAAATCACTTACACTTATAACTGTAAAGTGTCTGCATAGTTCCTCGACTATGGTCAAGTGCATGTTCTGCATATCAGTTGCCTTCCCCTTCCCTGGAAATGAATACCAAGTTATTTTAAGCATGTATGTTATTCCAGTTAATTTTTGTTCTAAATATGACATGGGCTTTTTAGAAGACAGACTATTTCACGCATGCAGTTTTGACCTGAAAAGCTTGTCAAATCTAAGTTTCAAAGACAACTGTGAGTTTTTTACATTTCCATCAAGATTTTCATATTACTGATAGTAATTTGCAACACACTTGTGTTAAACAATTTCAGTCTGAAAGTAGCGTTTTCTGAATGCATAAGAGACTTGTTACATCAGTGCCTGTTTGTATCTTCCTGAGGAGCAAGGAAGAAGAGTTTGTTTAGAATTCTCAACTATATATAACAGTAAGTGTTTTGATTTGGTTTTTTTTTTTTTTTCATTTTTAGGAAAATTTAGGTGAGAAGGTAGTACAAGGTGATGCGCTCCCAGGCCATGTAGGTTCTGCCTGCCTCCTGTCATCAACAATTGAAGAACTTGGGAAGAGTGCTGGAATTATTACACTTGCTATTATGAGCAGAAACCCAAGGAAAACAATTGGAAAAGTTAGAGGTACAGCTGACACAAACAACAGATGTAGATAACTTTACTTGAAGTGATCCATTATCTGTTAACATGGGAAATGTTGGTGTTTTTCTTGTAGTGGACTACATAGTTATTAAACCGATCCAGGGATACACTTGTGATATGAAGGCTTCATATGCAAAATATTGGAAACCAAGAACAACTCTAGATGTTGGACACAGGGGAGCAGGAAACTCTACAACAACAGCTAAGTAAGTTTGTTTCTATTTTGATCTGGGGAGATTATGTTTCATTTCACTGACATCAGTTCAGGAAGCGGACATTTTAAAAAGCTGCAGCCCATGGTTATTCAAGTCACTTCAATATGAAATGTGAGTGGTCTCCAAAACAAAACCTTCTGATTTGTATTTCTGTTGTTTCAGTGGACTTCTGTGCTGTGCTGCATCTAACAACATCTTTTTCTTTGCTGTTATTTCAGACTTGCTAAAGTTCAAGAGAACACCATTGCCTCTCTGAGGAATGCTGCTAGTCATGTATGTACACACATTTTCACACATTGCAGTACCTGTAGTTTAAACTAGGTTGGCTTGTATGCTTTATTTCCATGATTCAGTATAGTGAGTGGTAATTCCACTGATGTTAAATTACATCAAATCACTGTGGAAGTTCCCTGAGTAGTGGGAAGTAATAGCTAGATTAGACTCTTATTTTCAAGTTCTTAAAAAAAAAAAAAAAGCGAAACTTCTTCCATTTAATATGTTCTACTACAGAGAGAATTTTAATCTCAACCCTGTAGAGACATAAGGTTGGAATAAATTTGAACAAATGAATAAAATTTTGGCACTGCTAGAGTCTGTCAGCGTAACTCGCAGGTGCCAAACTCTCTCGCTGAGACACTCTCAAACACTCTCTCAGAGACTGCTGTGTAGCAAAACTTGGTGTCTGAAAGTGTGACCTGGGAGCTGAGCTGATAGAATAAAACAGTCCTTTGTTTTGGTGCTTGCTACAGCTCCACGTGCCTAAACTCTGTGATTGAGGTGGTCACTTTTATTCCTTCCAATAATCTTGATCACTGAAGTGCTCCTGGTGAGATTGATCTAGACAGTCTAGTGCAGCAGAGTAACTGGAGGCCGAAGTACATTCAGAGGTTCTTTGGCTCTCGTTTTCACAGTCACGTGGTGCTGTGAGATCACCTGCTGTTTAACTCATCTTTTCTAAGCCTTTATACCTTAGTGGTATTAATACAGGTTCTTGCAAAATGTCTTTTGAGGTTTGTTTAAAGGCATGGGAGCAGAATTGGCTGCTGATTCTGGAGTACTCCCCTAGAGTCATAGCTGAAAGCTTTCTCTTCTTTTGAAGGCAGAGTATAATTTGAACACAGTGACTGGAACATGCACTGGCTGCAAACCAAAAGCAGACTGAGCTTCTAAATTGTTTTGAACAGTGGTTCTTAATCTCTGGGTGCGACATGCAGGTTTATAGGCAGGTTTTAAAAAGCCCACAAGAAATGTGCATTGAGGCAGAGATTTACTAGGAAGTCAGTAGCAGCATCACCAGAAAAGAGCTTTCAACTATTTGCAGATTGAGAGGGCTGAAAACCACCGCTCTAAAAATATTTCTGCTGAGAAAAGTGCTGAAAAAAGCCTGTCCTGTTTTCTCTCTGCACTGATTAGAAAAGTGTGAGTCAGGATGGTATTCTTGGAGGCCTTTCAAAGGAATGATTTGCAGACAGTCAAAATAAGTAAAAACCCCAAGCCTCTTATTGTGTGTTTCTCTTTCTTTCCGGCCCTCCCTCTTTTCAAAAAGATTGTACTTAGAACTCTTGGATCTTTCTTCCCTTTTTTTTTAAGCTCATAACATACAGCTGAAAAGGACAGGAGAATACTGGATGCAGCTATTTCTGCGCTTGCACATATAACGCACTTCTGCTGTGTTACTCACTAGTGACTCCAGAAGCTCGTTGCTGTATGCAATGTCTCCCTAAAGCTTTGCAATATGTAGCCATCCCTTGTCTCTTGGTGGGGTGGTGGAGAGGAGGGAGGAAGGACACCGCAGAGGCATGTATGTTTTAAACATCTGTATTTAAAAATATCATCTTAGCCTTTCTCTGAAACCAGGTTTACAATACTTGAGTCTTACTAGAGGGTTTACAAGATTAAGCAAGATATACATACATATATATATATAAAATACCTTCCCCTATGAACTCTTTTTCATTATTAATCTGTTGCTGAGCATAACTTAACTGGTAACAACCAGATGAATTCAACTTCTGTGTGATGTCCAGTATTTACAGGTCCTGGATAACTTGTGTGCAGTTCTGTAGTCCTTGTAGATAAGTAGTAATGCTTTTTTTGTTTTGTTCTATGTGTTTTTCAATTTTCTATAGGGAGCAGCATATGTGGAATTTGATGTACATCTTTCTAAAGACCATGTGCCTATTGTATACCATGATCTCACATGTTGCATGGCCATGAAAAAGGTAAAGGAGATGACATTTGTATTTTATTTATAAGTATGACCATTCCAGAAACTGAAATGCCAAGCTGTCATGGAAATAATTCTGGGGACTCAAAGGATGGAATGGGAAGAAATATGCAGCATTACTCTGTGCATGAAGTAGAGCAGGGAAGTTGAGTTCTTCCTTTTGATGTTGTAGCAAGAGCTTTTGAGATGCACTGGTTTTTTGGCACTCCTCAAGCCAACATTATATTTATCATTTAACTTTCTTATAAATTTAGGATATGGAAGAAAAAAAGCAGGCAACTCTACTATGTTCAGTAGTGCCTGGGGGGCTGTTTGAGACTGCCAGAGCAGTCTAAAACAACTTCTTCTCTCTCCTACTGACACTTAAATGTTTACTTGTCTGAAGTAGTTGTGTACTCATAACTCTTTAGGTCAAACCAAAGTCTGCTTTGTTTGGATCCCAGTAGATGGACAGCAGAAAAATGGAAGAAACAAGGATCTCCTTCATTTAGGGAGTTTGATTAGCCAAAAATGGCCTGGCTTTTTTTTTTTTTTTTAAACTTTTTCTTTAACCCTTTTTAATTTAAGCATTTTGCTCTGTTCCTTAACTGTGAGGTAAACAATATGCTTCATGTCTCATGTGTAAGTGAGGCTGAAGAACTCTTGGATTGCTCAGTGGGTCAAAAGAAAAGGAGCTAGAACAGAGGTTCTACGAGCAGATTGTCCTGTCTTCTTGGCACTAAGTCTTGTGTCATCAAAGTCTCACACCCTTTGCAATATTGCAGTTTATAAAAAGCTTGGTTTTGAACAGTTGTGGAAATGGAACTTTACTAAGGGAAGTAGATATTCAGTGTGAGAAATGGACAAAATTTTTTTGACACCAGATCTTTATTTTGGCAGCAGGGTGTGAGTGTCTCAATTTTATCCCAGGACATTTGTCTTTTTATATTAGTTTCTGTGACATTGGATAGACAGTAGTAAACTGCCTTGGAGTATTTTTTACTGCATTTCTTTACTTGCAAACCTTTTTTCTGATTAACCAATCAAGTTTTTATAGAATAAATATACTAACTTTTTGTGAAGAAAGAACTTTAAAGCCTCTGACTTGTGTGAAACAAATCCTTTTTTTTCAAAGGGACACCTGTTCTATGCTTTTAAGTGACTGTTGTCTCCTGAAAACAGATCATCTTAAGATATAACTTGTATCTTTGTCGATAAAAGAGAAAAAAATAGCTACCTTTAATGTCATGGTATTAAAAGCATGTAGGCTTTTTTGTAGTTTTCAGTTATGCTTAATTATGTATTGTTTCTCTTCAAAGAAACTGGATACAGAGCCTCTGGAACTGTTTGAGATTGCAGTCAAAGAACTTACATTTGATCAGCTGCAGTTATTGAAGGTATTGTTACTTTGGCTAGTACAATATGCTGTGTGTAGAATTTCAAATTGTGTATGAAACTTAGAGTTTTTGGGAGTAACTAAAGACAGTTTGGGAGCACAGTTCTAAAAATCGTGTGAATAGAACAATTAGCTAATTTCAAGAAAAATACTTCTACAGCACAGTTACAACTTGAATAAATTCCATTACTTACATCTTCTAGAAAGGTGGTCTGACAGCTTGTGTAGATCCATATCATTATGCTAACAATGTTAATTTTTAAAAAATAAGGAAGGTTGAAATTGAAGGTGAGGTTCTTTGAAAGCCGGTGCTTTGAAGTCTTTGAAGAAAAACGTCTGTCACGAAGTCTGTCTGATTTTAAAATGTTAGAGGGATTGTGTTGAACTACTCTACCTTCTGGACAGAAGTGCCCTGTCTAACTAAAAGGGGATCAAGGGATGAGGCTGGGCCACTAAAGACCCCACTGAGATACCTGTCCTCAGTCAAGGAAGCATCTAGCTGATCCAAGAACTATATGATCATTTTTACTTAATGTTACTTGGTCTGCTCTTTTTTGTGGAGGGGGGATTTGAATAGAGCGAGGAAGTTGGCCCTGTGTCTGGCCTGATTCTGTCTCAGTATGTGACTGTGTTATAAAACTGGTCAGCCCTCTGCACTGGATTAAACACAGAGGAGAGATTAATGCTCAGACTTCTTCCCATCTTGCTGTTGAATTATACTCTGTGTGCTTTTACCCTTGAACATGTTTTTTCAATTTTCAGTAAGCATATTTTCCTTGAAATCTTTAAAACAAACTTTGAAAGAAAATTGTGATGGGTACTAGGATGTCCTTTGTTCTTTTACAGATTACTAAAACTGTGTCTATAATGGACACTATAAACTTAAAAACTAGTTTATAAGGAAATTTAGTTACATTTTGCATGTAGGAAGATCTCTGTGGGTAGAGTGTTTGCTAATGTTACTCTTATTTCTTCAGCTGGCTCACGTGACTGCCCTGAAAGTAAAAGATCAGAATGGTACGTAGTAGTTTGGAAGAGTCTTGAGATTGATTGACTGATTCATTACCGTGTATTTATATATATTCTGTGGCTACAGCTGCTTGTTCTAATCACATTTGTCATCCTCCTGAACACTTCTAAATGCTTATTTAGTTAATTCTGTGTGTGCTATAGAGTTCTTTGCTGGGAAGTAAATAGCTGAACAGAAGTTACTCCCTTGAGAAGAGGGGACAAGGATTGTGGAAGGTGCATGTATAGATCAATATATATTTACAAAGTTGCTAATAACGTTTCCATCTTAGACTTCACTAACTTCAGCTCTTCGGAATTGCCAGCAAGAATTTTGGTAACTGCTGTAGGGTGTCTTAGAGGTGCTGTAACTTTTTTGGCTTAATATAGGGACAGCAGATTGTCAAAGTACCTTGCACATCCTCCCAGTCTAGGAAAAGATAAAATAAATAATCCTTGATAGGCAAGGCTGCTTCTACTGGGTGTAATTCAGTGAGTGAAGTGGTGAGGGATGGGAGAAGCCATTTCTGATCAGTATTATGGCAAGTTTTAAATGATTGTAAAAAAATTTTTCCCGTGGGCAAAGCAGGAATTGCCAACACCATCTTTGGAGTATGTCAGTGTTGGAGGGAAGGTGTAGGTAATCAAAAGGTAGACCTGATTCGTTCTTCAGTCCTAAGGGCCTTATGAGTTTGAGACAGTTTTCTTGCTGGGATTACTGGGATTATGTTGCTATTTGCTTTGATTCAGTATTTTATATTTCTTTCCAGCATCTTTTAAAGAAGAAGAAAACTCTGCTTTTGAGACCCAGCCATTTCCTTCACTGCAAAGAGTAAGCAAACCTTATAAATGATATAAGGTTTATATACAGGGAATATAGATGATAATGATGATTGTGGAACTTGAAAGTATGTGCTTTATTTTCAGCTTTGCACACAAGGGATATTAATTTTTGGCTTTAGGTCTCCGATATCAGTGTCGAAACTGAGAATATGGGCTTCATTGCTGGCCACTGGAGGCTTTTCAGTACTTAAAAGTAATAGTTTGCAGATATTTCAAGCTTCTTAATTCATGAACTCAAGTGGCATAGCTCAGGGTACACAGGGGCATTGCATTTTAATGCACTGATAATTGTTTCTAATGTTGAAAAAACCAACCACGTGGCCTTAGGCAGTTCATCACATAGTATTGGCCATCTAGCAGAGCCAGTCACAGAGAAATACGTCCTCATTCATGACTGTTTGTGTGACCTTCCCCTTTGAGTTGGAGTCACCTTAAAGATAATTCTTCACAAGAACTTCACACGGAAGAACTTTTTTTCTCATCATCATAATGGCAAGCTCATGGATTTCATACTTAGGACTACGTGTTTATGTATCTTTCTGGAGAAATAAACCCCATTTTTTCTTTAGGAGTACAAATGGGGCATTTCTTACATGTGTTAAAGTGAATTGACTTGCATTTGTGCCTTGTCAGAATTTTGTCCTTAAGATTTTATAAATTTATATACATTTTTTAAGTTGGAATTAGAGTAAAAAAGGGTGTATATGTTTCTTATGTTAAATGTTAAAAACTTGAGGGGCTTCATTTTACTGTTAGACACCATTGGCATTAAATTCCAATGTATTCTCCCAAAAATTATATTCACAGTGCTTTGTTGTGTCCTTTACTGTGGGACCTTTTCATAATGATTTTTTTTTTTTTCAGGTCCTGGAGTCTGTTTCTGAAGATGTTGGGTTTAACATAGAAATAAAATGGATCTCCCAGCAAAGGGTAAATAAATGTTCTTGTGATTTACTTTAATTCTTTGACAGCTAAAGCTTGTAATTTGACATGGTGCAGTAACACAAGCAACTGTTTCCTGGTCGCAGGGTCGTGTTTATTTAGAAATAACAATAGAGAATATCTGCTATAGGTTTTGGTGGTCTTTCAAGAAATTCCTTTATGTTTCAGAGAAATCCTTTGCATTTTAAAAATTAGCATAGACTTCCTAGAAATGTTTTCCTTGGACAGGTAGACAATGAATTTTTCACTGAATCTTCTTGCTGTGAGAATTCAGCTGCCCCTCAGACTGTCAGGCCTGTAGGGCTGTAACTAACATTCAGCAGACTGAAGGGTTGGTTTCTGTATTTGAACTGGCGAACTGAATTTTCATTTTGCTCAGGTAGAATGAAAAACATTGCTGGTTAAAATAATTTCAGGAACCACTAATTTAAATGTCTGAAGCTTGTTCTTTCTTTTTCTAGGATGGACAGTGGGATGGCAACTTGTCAACTTACTTTGATATGAACCTTTTTCTAGATATTATTCTAAAAACTGTTTTGCTGAATGCTGGAAGAAGAAGAATTGTATTTTCTTCTTTTCATGCAGATGTTTGTACAATGTAAGTTAAGAAGATAAATTACGTGTTTTCTTTTTTTTTTTTTGGTAAAATTTACTTTATGCATAAGAATACCCAACAGGAAAAAAATAACAATTTGTTTTGCTTAGACATAAACTTTGGGTGCCAAAATAGTTAGGAACTGAAACGAGACCACTTTGCTGTCGGAAATGACTCAAAAATCAAATAGGAGAACTAAATCATAGATATTTTTGTCGAGTGCCTTCCTGAATGCTTCACTATTTCTTGGCACAACAAAAAAGGTCAAGGTTTCCTCTAGTATCCCAAAGTTTTTTTTTAGTCGTGCTCCAGGGTTATGCATGCCCAACTTAGAGACCAAATCATCTTGTTACAATTTTTCACTGTATCTGCCTTTTTAAAAGGACAGAAAACAAAAGAACTTTGTGTTGCCCACGTTTGGTTTAGGTTTTCTTTGTGGTTTTTATTAAGTGGTTTACTTTGCTTTTGTGGAATATCATATTGAAGGTATTGGGGCACAGAAAAGGAGTAGGAGTTGAAGTGGTGAACAGACAGTTGGGATACATATGAACTGAAAGTGTGCTGCAGTACTTGGTGACCAGAAGTGCCTCAGCACTGTTAAAGAAAGCTTCATTATGGAAGCTTCATTTAATGCTGCACTGATGAAATACCACTGAAGAGTCAATGGGCAAGGCAAAACTAAGTCAAGGTACTGATAAAAGGGTTAAGAAGCAAGTGTGTAACAACATGCCAATCTCAAAACTTTTGCTTCTATCTGTTAACATTTCATACCAGTGTACTGGTACCTAAGTTGGAAAATACATTACTAAGGTTAGGTTCTTGATATTAACCATGTTTAGAAATTCTTATCATGGATCTGCATATTACTCTAACCTGCATTTAAGAAGAAAATTACAGAATTAAACAGCCTTCAATGATTTTTGAGGATGTGGATCTGAGTTCAACATGAAGTCAAGCTTCCCTCAAACTGCGTGGTAATCTCTAATAATGGGAAAAGAAATAAATAATTTGAGCAGTTTGTCACACAGTTTGATGCTAAACTGTAGTACCATTTCATTGCACCAGCTAGGAACTAGAAGGACGTGCAGCACAGAGAGGAATTCCATTCAAAACAGTAAGATTGAATTCCCCTGCTTTATATTTTTTCATTTCCTACTTGTGAACTTTTTTTTTCCAACAGGATTCGGCATAAGCAAAACAAGTATCCTGTGTTATTTCTCACCCAAGGAGAATCCAAACTCTATCCAGAGCTTATGGACCTTAGATCTCGCACAACTCCAATTGCCATTACTTTTGCACAGTTTGAAAACTTGCTGGTAAGCTGACACAAGTTCTGGTACTACTCTGTGGTAAAATGAAACAAAATTATTACTCCTTATTTTAAATGTATCATTTTTCACCCAAACACTTAAAATTACAACTAACCTCATGAAAGAAATACAGTAAAGTTGGGTAACTGCCAAATGAATGTCCACTGTTTCAAATGTCTAATAGAGTGTTTTAAAATAGCACTATCAGTAAACTCTCTAATTGTATAAATAATTTTTTATTATTATGGATGAAATCATAAGGAGCTGCAAGTGTCAAAGATTAAAAATACCGATGTGTTTCAGAAACATGAATTTTAACTGAAGTCTTTTGTATTTCAGGGAATTAATGTGCATTCTGAAGATCTGCTGAGGAATCCATCATTTATTAAACGGGCCATATCTGAGGGCTTAGTTATTTTTTCATGGGGCGATGACGCAAATGACCCAGACAACAGGAAGAAGTTGAGAGAATATGGTGTTCATGGGCTAATATATGACAGGTATTTAATTATAGCTTTTATAAATAATCATCATCAAGCTTAGAAACTATTGTATCTTGATTCCAGTGAAATGTCACATTGCTTCTTGGTTGACTGGATACAGAATATCTTCCTTCTACAGCAAGTATGAAAAGCGCATAAACCCAGATCAAGAACAAGTCTAACACTTAGTCCCACTCTTTCAGCTGTATAAATGAAGTGAAATAATTTGTTTGTTCTGAGATTAACATAAATGTAATTTGATTCTTTAAAGAAATAGTGCATGGCACACATTTAAGGTGCTACTGATATTCCTGAGGATAGTTTTTAAGTTATGTACATGATATGGTGAGGACAATATTATTTAATGGTTCACCTGAAAGCTTAAGCTTTCTACATTAAGCTGTGGAAATAGCTAACACAGTTTAAGTGAATCATTTTAACATAAGTTTTGCGAACATTCTGTTGTGTTTCAAAGCTGTGAATTCACCATTTTTCCTATTAAAATTATCTTGGAGGGACTCCAGGGCAAACTGCTAAATTAGTCACTATAGAAGACAGCTATTTTATTATTTCCAGACAATTCAGGTAGACATCAGAACATCGTGGTAAATATTTGAACAAAAGTGTTGTGTTATTAAGTTCTTTAGAAACACCAAAAGTTTTAGCTCATTTGTCGCTGAAGATGTGAAATTCATTATTACAAGATGATGATTAGTTTGAGAAGCTGTATTAAATTAGAAATTCTGATAGATGAAAAAGAATGTGATTGGGAAAGCAGTAAGTGTAACTAAAGTGTCAAATTATAGAAGGCTTTCCAGCCTTTTGCTTTAGTAAGGTTATTCCTTTGCATATTGTTTTACCTGGAAAAATAAAAAGGGAGGAAAGGGATTAATAGTTGTCAAGGGCTCTGTTTTATAAAGTGAAAACTGAGAGTCAGTTTAACATATCTAGAGGCAGGAAATCAAATAAGGTTTGCTCTTTCTTTCTCATTGGAAGAAGAAAATAGTTAACTCTCTTTTATCTGTTCTCGACTGTTAAGAGCCCTTCCAGAGTGGTGAATCCATTGCTTCTCTGCTTTGCCAGAGGTCTCACTTCTTGTACTGTATAGAGTGTCTCCTATTCTTTGACAGTAAAAAAGAATAACTAGATTTTTACATTGGGGATCAGATCCAGGCTGAAGACATTAAAACATAAGTCCTCTTTCTTGCCACAGCATTGCTGTGTGTTGAATCTCTTCTAAAACTCATGATTGAGAGCCTCTTTAATTAATGAAAATTATCTCTGGAGTAGAATGCAGATGAAACTCTGACTCTTGGATGTACAATCCTAGAGTAATGAGATTGGATCCTATTATGTGCATAACTTAAAGTAATACATTATTGGTTCATGAATAGGTGGGGTGTTTTAATCAAATAGTGCTATGTAAAATATTCTTAAAATGTCTGTTCACCTGATGTCTACTAATCCAGTCTTCCAGAATTGCTAATTTCTCCATGTGCAATGCATATTCAGTACTGTGGTAAAAAAATTAGGAAGGTGACAGCCTCATTTCTGACTTCATGTTGCTTTTCTTACTCCAGATACTCAACGCTACTTAAATCCTGTTGCATTGCTGTCAAGGCTACAAGTCTGCTACTTGTCGTCTTATGGTCCCTTATGTACTGTTCAGTGTGTTTTAAGTTGTAGTAGGATAACAGAACACCTTTTATCTCACCTTTTGGCAACTAACCAACTTGTTGGAAATCTGAATTCCCTTGTGGATTTAACTGAAGAAAAATTTCCTAACTTCCCTGCACTATTTAGATCATTTAGATTCTTAGTAGTGTTCATCTCTCCTCTCGCTGCTTGCCCCATGTATCACTTCCACTTTAACATCTTTCCACTTTATTAAGAGGAACCCCAGAATTAGTAGTAATTCCAAAGCTGTTTAAAAACTCTAGTTCTGCTCTGCATTTTTTTTTTCATTTTTCAAGTTGCAAGCTGCAATTTGAGTAGCAAACAATTATCTTGTTTCAGTGTCATTGTTGCAGGGAAATGCTATTTCCCCTCTTTTCCTGTAGAATGTTCCTTTGCAATTCTTAATTACTTTTCAAAAGTTACTGATTAAATTCAGTCTTAATATAGGTCCCTTTAGAAGAAATATGACACTTTCTGAAAGTTGCATCAGATATCTCAAGCTGGACACTTTGAAATGCAGGTGGCGCTTTCAAGTCCTGGACAGAATGTCAAAAAGTAAAACCTGGCAGCAAGTGTTTCCACTCCCACTTATAGCTGCTGGGTAAAGAGGCAATCTTCCAGATCATTTGAGACTATGAAGTTGATATTAAGAGTTTAAATAGGTATGGTGTAAACATCCATATTCCTGTACTGTTTGAGGTTTAGAAATAAATGTATTTAAAACTACTGTGAAGCAGAACGAGAGAGAGAGATGTACTTACCTGTTTCAAGGTCTAGAAATAAGTAGGGACTGCAGTAATCTGTTTATTAGTGTAAAGCCAGTTCATGCTATTATTGTGTCTTCAAATTCCAGAATATTTCTAGGGCTGAATCAAGGCATGCTTCTTCCATTGGTTTGTGCAGAATTTTTTTTCTCTGGATTTATGGCTGAGTCCAGATATTTATCAAAAATTGCTGTGCCTGGTGTTTTGTGTTGCTGTTTACTAGACCTTTACTTACACTATCTTAAGTGCTAGTTATCTGAATAAGCTAGAAAGAGAATAGAGGAATTTTAGTGAATTTTCGGTTGCTTTCATGTGGCCCTTAGTTACTGTATGCAGTAGTGATTTCTGAGATAATGAACTGTCTGCATAGAGAACTTCTGTAAGCTGTGTTTTCCAAACTTTAATCATCCATGTAGAATTGGCCAAAACACTGTAGCCAGTTGTGAAGATGGCAGAAACAATGTGTCCTGAATACCAAAAGTTGGTGATATCAAGCACTGGGCAAAAAAAAAAACGCAGGTAGGGGGTTCTGACTTTGCTTTGCATGAAGAGAAGTTGCAAGACTAAATCTGGGAAGCTTACAAATGCCAACAATATTAAAAGAATGATCTCACTGGGGCAGAGGAAAGAACACACACATCTGTCTCCCCCCATCCAGTCCTTTCTCCACTTGGGCTGCAGGTTATTAGATATACCCAAAACCATTACACCAAATGGATGTTCTGGTGCTGTTGCTGGGATGATACTCTACTATTTTCCTGTGTTCAGCTAGTTTCATCTCAGTGTTTAAAGTAACCAAATTCCTTATATTAAAAGGACAATCTACAGAAAGGTGCCACCTCTGCCTTCAGGCTTTTATTTGGGCCCTTATACAGAAGAATACTTTATGTGTATGACTGGGTATATTCTGTCTACACAGAAATCTCATCCTTAAAATGCTCTATTAGTCTGATGTTTAGATTTTAATTAGAGAAGAAACTTTAACTTATTGTAGTGAAATTCTCTGGCTTGGCAAAAAATGATGAATTTTAAAGCAGGATTTGTGGGGTGATTTATCTGGTATTTTTCTCCTGGCTAAGCTTTATAAACAGTCCAGGAAATACTTAACTCAGAAAGAACAATGCAGTCTTATGTTTTTACACCTGTTGGCTGTATATTAAATACCAACGTGGAGAGGGGGTGGGTGCTAGCCTACACTTGCATTGTCTTTTTTCCCATTCACTTTACATGATCTGAATTTTGTTTGTTGAATAATACACACAACTGCATAAAAATGCTGAATCAGTAATTCTTACGCTGAAAGCTTTTCCATGAGAGCTTTCTTAGGCTGCATGTTGCGTTTGTGGACTCTGGACAAAAGCTCTGTGCTTGATTGGTATTAGTAACTTCCCAAAATTTAACACAAATTTAGCTGGCAATCGAGGCAAAAGCATTCCAAACACTTCTCAAAAGCAGAAGACTGTCTAAATCTGCGCTGCCCTGTTTGCCTGAAACTGCATGTTACTTAAATAACAGCATGGATATATGAAGGAACTGCACTAGTATTAGTTGATTTATAATTTAACCTGCTGAGTGATTAAGATGTTACGCAATGGCAATCTAAGTCTTCCCTATTTTGTGAATTGCAAATAAAACTAAACTCAAGTTTACCTTGATGCAAAGAAAAATGAAGAGTTTTAATCAAAAGCTTCACAAAATCTTTTTAGCGTGAAAACAGTTTTTCAGTGCTGATGACTTTTGTCTCATATGTGTTTTCAGAGGTTGCAGAAACACCTGATAGGAGCTAAGCACATCACTTTTACATCCACTGCATGATCCTGTAATGTCCTGCAAGTCTTTTGTTGAAAGTGCTTATTTTAAATAGTAATTTTAAAAGGATTCTTCCCACTCTTCTGTAGAGCTTGCTCATTGATAGGAAGTTGAATGGAGGAACTTTGGTGCATAGCTACTTACAAATAAGTGTCCTGTTGAAGAATGAAGGATAGGGAGACGTTACTTATTTGATGGTAAAGTTGGAAATAATTAATTGAGAGACATCCTGAAACAGTGCTCTGTTTTTGCAAACTGGTGGCTTACTTTCATGGCCTTGAATGAAAAGTGAGGACAAGAAATTCTGAATCACAAGCTGTGCTTCAAAGTCTCTTCTCTGCTTTGGGTTTGGAAGAAACACCATATACACATTGGAGCAGACTGGCTCTGGTGAACAGGTTCAAAGGAGTTTGGAGGGTTGGATTCCTCCAAAATGCCAATTGAAAAGAACTTAATACGAAGCAAGAATTGGAGAATTTATGCTGTAGGAAAGAACTAATAAAATACCTGCCAGAAGCTGCTTAGAAACATGCTTAGCCATGTTCTAGGAACAAGGTGCTTAGAAACGTGCTTTTGCTCTTCTCATGTCTAACTGATGGGAAGGACTTGAGGTTCTTAGTCCCTAAAGTGTATTGCTTGTATAGAAAACTGTCTTCTAGTTTCAGTGCTTTGCCTTGAATGCATAGAGAAATTCGTAATGTGAAAGCCGACTTAACTAAAGAAAGCACAGGTCTTACCTGCATCCTGGAAAGAAGGCAGGGCTTTTATTTTGCAGATAGCTTCCATAAGGAAATTTTGGGTTGTATCTTAGGCCTGTGTTGGATTATAGGTGCTGTGCAAGTAATTTAACTGCTATGCCTTCTATCTGAATTTCATAAAAACAGACAGCTTTTATCCTCACTTTGAGGAGTTTTGTCACAGAAATTGTCTGTAGAGAATGTGATCCTTATCAATATTTCCTGTAGAAGTGTTTCCTTATTTGAATCCTGTTATTTTATCGGTCTTTGAGCTGCATTTTGTATTGGATGTCTCAGAGTTGCCAGCAGTTCACAAGCTGTCTTGTTGGGGTAAAAAGGCACCTTGCACTCTGTCGTACAGCACTCTGTTACTCTGATTGTGACACGGCATTCCTTTTGGACATACCTTGAAAACTTGTGAAGGACAAAGGACGATAAAATAAAACCAAACTAATTTCTTGAAGGAATCATAAGGAAAGGTATGAATATTCATAAAAGACTAAGGTGGAAGCCATGGTGATTTCTTCCAGAAGTTTTCATTTGAAGGAGATAAACCTGGCGATGTGCAATACCTGGAACTATATATGTACAACTGGATGCCCAGAAGGAAATTTTGGATAGAAATAACGTGCTGATGTTAGAAATTACTGTTGGGAGATCAGGTGTTGTACCATAGCTTGGTTACAGGAACATGAATGCTTTTGCTTTATAATGAATTACACCAAAATAATGTTAGGATTATGCTCAGTGTCACTGTCAGACTCAAAATGTGTGTTGGATTTTTCTGAGGTGACATTTTAAATCCTGCAGGTTTGCTTATATGTGTGAAAACAAGAAATTGAAATGAGGATAGACTTTTTGAAATAGTGTAGATAGTTAATTTACATTAGGTATGAAGAAAGATCCGATTTTCTGGTTTTCACTCTTCACCTAATATCGTTATAGTAATTCAAGAGAGGTGGTTCTGAACTGGGGGGAGGTGAAATACTCCTCGAAACAGTAAGCATAAACTCCTTTCAGTGTGATATACAAGTAGTATATCAGTCTGTTCAAATAACCTCAGGGCTCTGAAATTTCTTATGCTTTTAAGTTTAAAGTCTGGAACACTGATCTTACTGTTTTGTGCCACCTGTAAAATCACATTATTTTCAGGAGATGAAGTAAGTAAATGCCAGTGGGGAGCTTTTTAGTATATCCAATGAAATACTAATCAGTCTGTGTAAAAGGAATACCATTCTATATTGCAAGATGAACAGCAAAACTTTGGATACTAACCTCAAGCAAACTGTCCTTACAGACTTGCCAATACCTAAAAAAACCCCCCCCAGCTGCTTTATCTAGTGTACATTTCTGTCAGCTGTCAGTTTATACTGATCAATGTTTTTTTCTTTTCTCATTCATTCAGGATATATGACTCAAATCCTGAGCAACCAAATATATTCCAGGTGGAGCAGCTGGAGCGTCTCAAGAGAGAATTGCCAGAGTTGAAAAGCTGTGTGTGTCCCACTGTTAGCCACTTCAAATCCATAGTTCCATGTAAATGTCATAATAGCTACCTGGAAGAGAAAGCTGTAGATAACTTGAAGAGTGTTCAAATGCAAAATGACTAATTTTAGGCAGAATGCTGTTTTGTATCTATCAATTTTTTGCTATTGGAACAGTCCTGTCTATGCTTTCAGGTTGGTTTATTTTATTTTTTAAAATCTCCAAATAGCAATAACTGTGTTCCTCCTTCCTAACAGTACTTACTAAAATTTCAAACAATGTTAAAATATTCAACCAGTTATAGTTATTGTTCCAATTTACGTATACAGTTTTAACTTTCCCCTATAATCATGGCAAATCTTGAAAAACAAAATTAATGCTAGTGCTTTTAAAAAACAAATTAATGAAGCAGTCTCAGTAGTGAAAGTTCATAAACTTGAATCTTAGGGAAATGACAATGAATACAAATTACAATATTGAATATCCTGAAAAATAGTTTTGACTTTGATTTTACTTTTTAGAGGCTGACAAGCTGTAGCATTTATCTGACAACAGGAAATTAAGAGAGTGATTGTGAGATACATATAAATAGATCTGGCCTGTAAAAAGATCTGAATGAATTGGTACCTCATATACATATATATATATGTATTTGCACTGATAGATCCACCTGTACAAAGCTTTGTGCAATTTGAAAATATTTATATATTTTTTAGTAAACTGCAATCTTTTTTTTCCCACTTCATTGGACATTTAGGCTGCTGCCTTTGTTGTCTCGTTTGTCAGTTTGTACTGTGCCTGTGTATAGCAATTAGGGGTGAACCACAAGTATGATTTTATTTTTTTTTTTTTAATTTTTTTTTCATTAATCGCACACAGGTCTGCAAAACTTTACAAATGTTGCTAATAATTTTAACAGGATTACAGAAACATCTTCAGTTGTTGAGAATCTCTTTTTGCACAGTAACCTTAACGGACAGAATATGTACCATGCACAAACTCTACAGAATGCATGCTTTATCTATTAAGCATGAAATTTAGGTGTTTGCTGAGGCCCTTGCATCTTTATGGTGCTAGTTATGTGTGAAGGATGCAAGGACCAACTCAACAACTTAATCTTTTTTGCCTAAAATAAACCACAAGCCTATTTATTCACAAATATTTGAAGAAAAGGCTATACCATAAGTGGTTTGTCGTATTTACATAATGCAAGCTACTAGCTTTTGTGTTTAGCAAGATTTCTGGCTTTTACCTTGAAGCAAGAATCACAAATGTACTGAATTCAGATAATTGGTATTCTCTTGACTGGTATCTATCCTCTGTAATTTATTACAAAGTCATAGTTTAGAGTTCTTAATAGATAAGTATGCATGTCCTTTTCCTCCTGACATTGCAGGTCATGCCAACACAATAGCTGTAACTTTCTACTGAAGTGTTAATGTATAATAAGAATGAAAAATATTTATTTTTTTTCTCTTGTAAATTGACAATGAAGACAATAGTATGTACTATATTCTTTATATACGGTCATCGCTACATAGAACTGATTGTACAAAGCCATTGCAAATAAGTGCTTGAGCCTGCACTGCTGAGCAGTTTGAAACAGCTTGTTTTGACTTGTGTATTTGAGTATTTAAAGCCGGGGGGTTTTTTTTGTCATGCACAAACAACACAGTAATGATTAGGTATCTGGAAACCGCCTTTTAATAAAAAACAAAGAAAACCCCACAACCCTAAACGAAACTTGGAGATGTGTGAGCTGTGTTTTTGAGAAGGGGAGGGGGAGCTGAACCAGAGTCTTGACATCAGGAACCTGTGGCTGTTATCTGATACGTTCCTCACTTATGTGATTAATTCTTAACTGTTTTCTCATTTGTATACCCATGTAGGATTCTCTCGACAGATCTTGAGGACATTACCAACAGATGCTCAGTGCCTATCAGAGTTTCTATCACTGCTCATGAAAGCTGGAGAGCACATCCACAGAGATGTTGAACATGACACCTGTTTTGTGTGAAGGTTGTTCAAATGTTGTGCTGTATGAAGCACCCTCTTGGACTAACCTCAGTGTGACTAATAATAGAAGGGCTTAGGCACCCTTAAAAGCTTGTTTCACAACTTTCAATGCCCAGAGAACAGCAGCTGACTATTCTGACTGCTTTAACAAGCTCTTCTGCTGTGTCAGTTCTTGGAGCTGAGCTTGGCCGCTCTGAACAGCTGTTCTGCCACAGCCAGGGGTGTTACAGCAGGGATATAGGGGAACTGAAGAGCAGGATTGTGGGAACTGGCAGGAGAACCTGTTATCTCTTGCTTTTGAGTGCTTGTTGAGAGACCAGGGTGAGCTGAAGCAGAAATGTTTTTTCCCCAGCTGAGGGCCTGCTACAGATTTTTAATTCAGAGATGTGTGAGGTGTAGTGGGTGAGACGCAATTTCACTCTTGATTTTGGAACTTCCTTTTGGCCCACTCAAAGACTGGATTGTACACGTATAACATTGATAGCTGAATGACACTGCCACTGTATGCCACAAGTACCATGGACAATGAGGATGGGCTGCTCCAGATACACCAGTCGGGAGCTCCTGATGCAGCTTGCCACCACCCCATGGCACAGCAGCCCTCCTGCCCTGGAAGGCATCTAGGATGGATAGAACCCACAGTTATGGATTAAATGAACTCAACAGCCATCCTGGAGGGACAGCCATTGACTATGGAAATGATACCTGTGCTTGTGTATATTTATTTATTTATATATATATGTATATAGTTGGGAAGTGTAGGATCTGGGCATGATGTAGATGTTATAGAATAATGGGTGGATAATGTCCTGGTTGTGGCCAAGAACAGGGTGAATTTTTCTAGGAGCTGAGAGGAGGTTTGGCTGAGGGGGCACTCAATACCACCTTGGGGGAAGGGACTCTTGGGCTTTGGAGAAAAAGGGTGTGGCCTCCAGTGGGGAGCAGACCTGGCTGATGGAGCAGTCAGGGTGCTGCCAGCTGCAGTTGTGTAAGGCTTGGTGAATATTTGGCATGTGACTCACCTCCTCTTGTATCTTATTTTTTTTTAATATCGTTGATGTTATTGTTCATTTTCTTATTGCTCTTATCAGCCTCTGATCTTTGCCTTTTGTGCCTCCTCTCTGGCCACCTGCAGGGAGGGCAGAAGACAGAGGCAGGGGGGGGAGCAGTGTGGTTTGGAGTCCTGGTGAAAGAACTAAACTGGAGAGTACCATTCCTAAACCATGACACTGTTTTTCTCCCTTTCTCTGCTCTGTTCTGCCCAAAGAAGTGAGGGCAAGACCTTCCCTGCCTGGAGGACCCTCTGCTGCCCGTGGTTCCTCCAGGGAGCTGGTGTGATGGGGCAGCTCTGCCAGGAGCCGATGGTGGGGAGAAGGAAGAGTTAAGAGAATCCCAGCCTTGTAGCCATATCCAAGGTAAACCTTACAGGCACCCTGGTCCTGGGAAACAGCACGAAGCACAGGGGCCTGCTCCCTTCTTCAGTCCTGTGCTAGCCTGGCATAAGGATGAAGGCAATCCCCCAGCACTGTGGTTTAGGAATTGTATTACCCAATTCAGTATTCCTACTGAACCACTCCTAACCACAAGCCATGTGAACACTCTCCCCTCCCACTCCCCCTGTGGAGGGATGGAGAGGATAATTGGAGGCACATAGAGTAAGGATCAGGAGCTTAGATAAGAACAATTTACTGGAAACAACAGTGGAATGGGAAAAACAAGTAACAGTTAACAGTAACAGAGGGAACCAGCACTACCCCACTGCTTCAACCACCAGACTTAGTGGAATGGAAGAGAGCCCTTCCCCCATCCCTGGAAAATGATGTGAGATGGTATATAACAACCTCTGTATCCTAGCCATGCCCCTTCCTGGCTCCTGCAAAAATTAACCCTGTCCTGGTCACAACCATGAAATTACCCACCTCTTACTCTATACCACCTATGTCATGCCCAGGTCCTAAACCTTCCAACTCTGTATGTGTGTATATACATACATATATACATACAAGCCCAGGTATCATTTCCATAGTCAATGGCCGTCCCTCCAGGATGGCTGTTGAGTTAATTTAATCCATAACTGGATTCTATCCATCCTAGATGCCTTCCAGGGCAGGAGGGCTGCTGTGCTGCGGGGTGGTGGCAAGCTGCATCAGGAGCTCCTGAGTGGTGTATCTGGAGCAGCCCATCCTCATTGTCCATGGTACTTGTGGCATACAGTGGCAGTGTCATTCAGCAAGCAATATTATACTTACAATGCAACATTACAGACTGTTCTCACCCAAAAATCAAATCCCCATGAGGTACATGTCACAATTCCCCATCCCTCTGCGTTGCCCACTGAGTGCATCCAAATCCTTGACCAAAAACAATCCTATGGATGGCGTTTCCTTTGCTTGACCCAAGACTAATCCAAACTGTCTTCCCTAACATATTCTTTATAGGCACCACCGGGACTTTATCCCCTGTTACAGTATGTAAGGAGTCTGATTGGGCAGAACGAGCTTGATTGGTGCATCCTCTAGAGTGTTCACTGACCAGGTGCCTTTGCTAAATGTAGATCCCAGTGTTTGAAAGTCCCGCCACCCACTGCTTTCAATGTGGTTTTCAACAGTCCATTGTGCCCTTCAACTTTCCCAGGGGCTGGTGCAGTGGTGTAAGACACAGGCTGTGTCTCCAGCTATCCAATGGTTGTTTCCACCATTGTCGGCACAAAGCTCTTACCTTCCAGGTTTGCAGGAGTGTGATGTAATCAATGTGCCAGGCCTTCCCAAATTTATATTTTGACCATTGTTCCCCATACCACCGGGGCTTCACCTGCTTGGCCTGCTTGATGGCAGCACGTGTTTCATAGTTATGGATAACCCATGAGGTAGTGTCCATGGTTAAGTCCACCCCTTGATCATGAGCCCATTTCTCTGTTGCATTTCTCCCCTGATGACCAGATTAAGGCATCACAGACCCACTGAGCCAGAAATAATTCACACTTGTGTTGCCAGTCCAGATCTATCTGAGAGACTTTGATCTTGGCAGCTTGATCTACCGGACCAATATTGTAATGCTCCTCAGTAACCTGACTCTCAGGTACGTGTCCATCTGCATGATGGACTTTCACAGTCAACTTCTCTACTCGAGCAGTGATGTCTTGCCCCAGTTCAGCAGCCCAGATGGGTTTACAGCTGTGCTGCCACTTGGTCTTTTCCCATTGATCCAGCCACTCCCAGAGAGCATTTGCAACCATCCACGAGTAAGTGTAGAGGTAGAGTGTTAGCCATTTCTCTTGTTTGGTGATATCTAAAGCCAGCTGGATGGGTGGCTTTCAGCTCTGCAACCTGACTCGATCCACCTTGTCCCTCGATAACTTCTGTGACTCACTGTGTGGAGCTCCATGTAGCAGCTTTCCATTTCAAATGTATCCCTACAATAGGGCAGGAACAAAGTGAGCATATCGCTTTTCATTTTTGGGCAGCTGATTGTATGGTGGGGCCTCCTTAGCATGTGTCATCTTCTCTAATGATGATGATAGTCCAAAATTTTCGCCTTTGGGCCAGTTTCCAATGACTTCCAAGATTCCCGGGCAATTGGGATTTCCTATCCAAGCTCGCTGTGTGATTAGATTGATCCACTTACTCTACGTGGCATCAGTCGCACAATACGTGGAAGGGATTTTTCTTTGAACCTCCAGCCCAGCACTGGCAGTCAGGGTGCCAGGAGGAGCTGTGCTTTGGTGCCAATCACTTCTGAAGCTGCTTGAACTCCTTCATAAGCACCTGGTTGGTGTGGTGTTGCTAAAGTTGCACTGTTATGGTAGTGATCAGTACCTGTTAGTCTTCGACCCCCAGCAGTCCCACAGCAGAAGGATCCCCTGAGAGGCCAGGTGGAGATATTCAGCTGCCTAATTTCCTGTATTCACAGCACTTATCCCAAAAGCCCAGTGATGCCCTTTTGGGTCCTTGAAATACCTGCTCCTGAGGTAGCCTGTGCCAAGGATGCAGGTCTTCTAGGCCAGTCACGATGGAGTGTTTTTGCCATTCATTCCCAGAAAAGCTCTCCTTCAGCTTCTAGTACAGACAGCTGTTGGAATCTCCCTGTCACTCCAGAAATAGAGATGGATTCTGACCCTACGTATCTTGATGGCATCAGGGTACATTGTGCACCAGTGTCAACTAAAGCCTTATACTCCTTTGGATCTGATGTGCCAGGCCATCGGATCCACACGGTCCAATAGATCCAGTTGTCCCTTTCCCCACCTGGCTGGTAGGCAGGGCCCCTTTAGTCTTGGTCAGGGTATTCATTGCTCATATCTTGTAACTATGATCTGGAGGTCCCTTCAGAAGGATCAGAAGTGCCTGAGCTGATCCTCAAGGATATGATTCTGAGGTCACTGTCTGGGCTCAGCTCTCACTGAACATTTTAAATTTCGGATAGTTCAGTGTCATGGTGCATTTAATGATTTTGCAAGTACCCACCGCCATCTGGTGGAGGTGTTGAAAGACAACACTGAAAAGCCGAGAACAGTTTTTTGTCCTGGTGACTTTAGTGTGTGTTCAGTTGGTGGAGATGTCCGGTTTTTGATCTTGGTTATGCAACAGTGAAGCTTCATGTACTTGGGAAGGAAAGTGAATAGCTCTAGTGTTGGTGGTGCACTTTATAGGCATTTTATTGTATGCTAAAGAAAGGGAAAGTCCAGCCTGGGCTCTTTCTTTTGAAGCTGGGGTCTGAGAAAGTG